AAGAGCCTGAATGTCCTCATAACATCAGGAAAAATGTATTTATGTCATTTGAGTAGGCCTGTCACGATAAACAATAAATCAGTTAATCGCATGATAAATGAAAATTATCGACCTCATTTTCATTTATCAGCTTTATCGTTTCTTTGTGTCTCTCTCTTTCTACTGAAGACACTGGATGACAAAAAGATCAACTCTGGTGATCTTCACTGACCCCTCCCTTTCTCTTTAAAACCCATTTTAGCTGTCCAAAATCATGTTTTTGGATTGTTAAAAGCAGCTAAGCTACGAGCTAAGCTAACAGGCCGAACTCGGGGGGGAAAAACTCCGTCTTATCGAAGCTCCAGAATTAACGGTTGAAACCTGTGCCTTCGTGTAAAAAGTAGTTTTTCTCTGCAAAAAGAAGCTGAGAACTTGTTTACTGATTTTTTATTAAAAGCTTTGTGTGAGAAATGCTAAAGAGCTCAAAACACCGAGCATCCGCCATTTTGAGAACCCAAAAAAGGAAAGAGAGACAGCCCATGTCACGTCAAGGGGCCTCCCTCCCATTTTTCTTAAAGTGACACGCTGCTCTCTCCCGCACTATTTCAAACAATATTATCGTTTATCACAATATTTTCTGAGACAATTAATCGCCCAGCAAAATGTGTTATCATGACAGGCCTAAATTTCAGTGCATTGATTGTTTTAATATAATTTATTTCAACAGTGGACAAAAAAAAATCATGTTTCTCAGATGACTCTGATCAAACTGTTCATGTTTTGTGCTCTGACTGTATTCAATCTAGCTGTTTTTTGTTTTGTTACCTTTTCCTTTTAGCCATCCTATTTGTTAAAAAAAAAAAAAAACTGTAGTATGCTTTTTTATAACTGTTTATTGTTGTTGCTGTTCTCCATTGTTGTCGTCTTTCTTTGTTGAAATCAGGTCTCTCTCGTAAATGAGTCCTCGAGGCTCAATGGGATTTACCTGTAGAAATAAAGGTTGATTGATTGATTCAACCTGTCTGTGTTTATCTAAGTTGATTAAAAAATTAAAAAAATACAGGAAGCCAAACATGTTAGCTCAGATTTATACCTACGTTACACGTTATAACCACGTATGGTTATAGATCGTTGTTTGATCTGTTGGAATCTGTTGACTTGGTTTTTTTTATTATAAACACTCATTTTAAGCACAAAAACAGAAAATTGTTTTATTCCTAGCGTTAGCCGCTTTCTTATTCCTTAATTTATACAACAGCAAAAGCATTTATGCATTAAATGTTAAAATTGTAACTTTTGTTTACAGTTTTAGCCATTTTAGCTTATAGTAACAATTTGGCTACGTTTAGCTTTTAGATGTCGTTTTGCTCATCTTTGCTAGATAGTTTAGCTATTTTAGTCATGGTTTGTTTAACTTGAGCTTTAAACTGCATTTTTGTTCGCATTTCAAAATTTTATACGGTTTGCTTTTAGCAGTTTTTAGCTGTGGTTTTGTTTATTGCAGCAGTTTGCACTTTTGTGGATTGTTTCTTTTTATCTAACTTTTCGTTACTTTTTGCTTTGTCTAAATTTAGCTATAAGCTGCAGTTTGCTAATTTTTAAACTTTTAGCTGGTTTAGCTCATTTGGGCTTATTGTTTGCTTATTTTACCTTACTGCACGTTTACTTTTAGCTGCACTTTTGCTGATTGTAGCTTCTGTTGTACTTGTTTTATATTGAATTCAGCTAACAACTCCTTTAACAAATTTTGCTCATTCTAACAGAAAGTGTCCTTCTAGTTTTAATGGTGTTTGTTGTCGTTCCGTTCAGGTTTTCTCTTCGAGTTAAACTCATGTAGAGACTTTTTTTTTTTTTAGCTAGTAGCCAAAATGACTGCAGCTGATTGTTAGCTGAAGACAATCAGACTTGTCTGCATTCTTGTCCTCATCAACCACTAACTGCTGCTATCATATTTGTTGCTGAGAGCAAAGACGACTTTTAAAAAATATTTAAGAAGAAATTTTGAAATAAAAAGCAAACAGAGAGAGCTCTGAAGTTGTGCTTTGTGAAGAAAAGCTGCTCTCCACCACAGCGAGCGTCTCCTCCCTGACAGCTGATCTGGCCTCACTCCATCTCCTCTTCTGTCATAATCTTGTCCTGATGGGATTAAATATCATGTTAGCTGGTTAGCTGGCAGATGGTGGAACAGACAGACGGTCCTGATGAGTTCTGGATTAACTTGAAGCTCTAATTACGTTTATGAAAGCCGAGGAAGAGCACGAGGAACAATCAGCCGAAGGTTTGGGTTCAGCATTGGTTCAAACAGGTGAACAGTCTCTGACGGTGGTTTGTTTGGACTCAAAAGAGGAAACAATAAATAAAATGTTTTCACGTATTGGCTCTAAACTGCAAGTTTAAAAAAATTATAGAGCTTTTTTAAAAAAAACAAAAAAAAACGTTGTGCTCTTTTAACCGTTCTTGTGTCAAAACATTCGGCTCAGTCACAAATTAGGTGTTGTGACGTTTATAGTTTGTAATGATTTGAGCTTTTGTAATATTTTAACTTTAATTACTGAAAGTGTTCCTGCGGGGGCGCAGAGGAGAACCTGTGAACCTGGCAGGCCCCGGCTCCACATGCAGGGCTGTGGTAGCTCGGCGGTCGTGACTGTGGTTGTGACATCTGCCGAAAAAGCAGTTGCCAAGTCCTTGTGCGATTTTGCTTGCTGTGCCCTGAAGAAGAGAGCAGCCGAAAGAAGAAAGCAGCCGAAAGAGTGGGAAATAACCTACCTGCTTCAGTTACATCTGTTTTAGATGCTAAATATAGCTTTTAGCTTCTCTAATTTAAGTTTCTATCTGTAGGTTTCCTCACTTTAGCTTTTAGCTACTGTTTTGCTTATTTAACTTTTAGCAGTTTGTTACCTTTCTTTCTTTCATTTTGTTGTTGCTAAATTTCATTTTTACAATTTAGTTTCATTTAACTTTAAGCAATTTAGGCTTTGGCTACGAGTTTTGTAATTTTAACTTTTAGCTTCAGTTGCGACCATTTAAAATTTTAGCTACATTTTAGCTCATTTTAGCTTTACGCTAGAAGTTTGTTATTTTTAGCTTTTAGGCTTTTATTTTATTTCAAAATTTTACTTTTTGATACAGTTTTGTCACATTTACTGTTTTACTGTTTAATTACCTCTAGCTTTTAGCTGCAGTTTAGATAATATTGCCTTTTAGCAAAAAGTTTGTTATTTTTACGTTTTAGCCTTTTTTTAAATTCATTTTAATATTTTTTTTTCCAAAAATTGGCTTATGGTTTTGTCACATTTACTGTTTAGCAATTGTTTTACAGCTTTTAGCTGCTGTTTTAGTTTCTGACTGGTTTAGATAATAAATGTCTTTAGCTTTTGCTTGTTGTAAATTTAAATTATGTTTTAAGTCATTTTAGCTTGTAGCAACTGTTTTGTTACATTTAGCTTTTAGCTATTGTCGTACTAATTTTAGCTTTAAGCTGCAGCTCTGCTATTTAGAGCTTTTAGTTGTAGTTTAACTATGTTTAGTTTTTAACTGAAAATTTGTTTAAATGTAAACTTTTTTCTTTTTTTTTTTTACAGTTTAGCTTTTTTCCAGAAATCCTTAGATTTCCTAACTAAAACTTCTGGTTGTGGTTTAGACAGTTTTTACTTTTAGCTACCGTTTTGTCAATTTCATCTTTTGGCCATATGAAAGTAGCTTTTAGCTGCATTTTTTCCACTTATTGTTTCTAAATACTGTGTTCTTTCTCACTAAAAAAAAATCAAACGTTCTTCGGCTGATAATCCCAAAGGCTTGTGACAGCATTCATTGTAGGTTAAAATGTACAAGTTTGGCAAAATAAAGCTGTTAAACAAGAAAATAATGACAACACAAACAGGCCTAACCACATTTATGCCATTTTTATTCATTATAATTAAACTTTTTAATAACAAGTCCAGTCAAATAAATCCAAAAACAAACAGTTTTAAATGTAAATTAATTTCTGGAGATTGTGAAGACCAACTTGGTGTTTCATGACCCACTGTGGTCTCCCCACCCCACCTATGGGAACCACTGGGAGAGAATTCACAACAGTGTTCCTTACAATAATTCCCTGAGAGGATCTTTAAGACATGAAGTCAGCGTGTGAATCATCCTCAGATTAAAGGCTCACTCTGTGGATTAAAGATTAAAGATAAAAATTAGGCCTCGTTTCTCGAGTCCTGTAAAACTGCTGATCCTGCAGCTCCTCAGAAGAGCTGTGGTCTCCACCCGCCGGAGTGTCTGGAGAGGAATAATTATGAAGCTCTGCTCACTGTGAGAGGAGAGAGGGTTTCTGTGTCCCACATTATTTACAGCTGAGGTTTGAATACGTGCCTCGGCAACGAGCGGGCCGCCATCGGCCTGCGGTCAGAAACTCACTGGGCTGCTCTCCAGGCGTCCGGTCCCTCTGGACAGAAACAAAGCCGCCTCGTTCCTCTAATGTTCCCTTTACGGCATCATGCATCACTCGTGGATTTAAACCACATTCCAATGAGGGAAGACAAACCAGTTTCACTGGGAGGCTTGTCCTTCAGCTGGGCTGTTCTGCTCAACAGAAAACAACCAACCAGGTGCTTCTTCGCTGAACTCATTCAAGTATTTATTAGTTTGTGTTATTTTTAGTACAATAATGATGATGCTTGTTTTATCATCTCGCCTGGTGAACTCAGAAAAATCAATGCCCCACCTAAAATAAACTGAATTCTAAGCAATTACTGGGCTACAGCGACATCTGGTGGCGATGAGGGGAACTACAGCTGCTTTAAATTCATATTTCCATTTCTAGAAGGAATGCTTATCGCCCTTAGAGCCAGTTTATGATTAAATATTATGGATTATTGTCATTTTGATCAAAGCTCATGGAATGCTGTGATGTTAGCAATCGGACTGAGTACTGATGATGACTCACTACCAAATGTTGCGATCAGTTGTAGACGTACAACACATTAATACTTTCTGAGAGCTTCGGGAAGATCTGCCCTGCGTCCAGACAAGGGTCAGTGTGGAAACTTGTTTAGGAGGTGAAGATGAAAAGAATGAAGACGAGTCAGGACCTCCTCCAGATCATCAGGCGGGGTCAGAATGCAAAATCTAAAAAAAATTTCAAGGTAGTTTTTACTCAAAACGGCTGCGTTCATACGTCTAAACATCACAGTCAGGGTCTGGGAATTTTCTTGGGATAATAAAAATACAATTTGAAATACGTCTTGGTTTTTTCTGCACCTGACGTGAAGGTTTTCACGGTCCTGTCCGTTCTCACAGCCCGGCCCAATACAAACACCTTTTTCTTCAAGAAACATCTGGCAGAACAACACATCTGGCTCCACCCCCTGCGCCTGAGATCAATCACAGCCACATGTGTCGTAAAAATAAATAAATAAATAATAATAATAATACACAACAGTTGTAAAATAGAGGTTATCTTTGGATATCAAGAATATCCTGAACTGTATGAACTGGTGCAGTTTGAAAAAGTTTACTCCGGTAGTTTTCCGGATACGCTGATATTCATGTCTGAAATGCAGGTCTGCACTAAACACAAACAAAGCACCGTTATCTCTACGCTTTACTCAACAAATGTGAGTTTAAATACACAAAAAAACATCTAAAACATCAGACTGTTCAGTCTGTTTCTGCAGGTAAAACAAGACTTTTAATTCCAGGACATTTTATCAATTTGAGAATTGTTTTTTTAATTTTTTAATGAACTTTTATGACATTGCAATGAGTACCTTTAGTCACATCCATGATCAGGTTTGATGCACTGAGGAAACAAATCCTTTGTGTTTTGAGCGTTCACACTGACCTCAGCCTCCTGTAACATCCAGGCTGGTAAACGGAGGCGAGGATACAGAAAGATCCCCGCCATCGCCGGCTGGCAGCTCATTCCTGGTAAGCTGTTCAGAAACTCACACGCTCGCTGAGCATTCTGGGTAAGAGTTTCATCGGTCCGAAGAACTTCCTTCAGGAGGAAGTGAAAGATGATAGTAAAATAAATAAATAAATAAGGACGAAGGAGACTAAGAATATGAATAATCTCTGATTCCAATGATCCCCCTTAACAAAAAGTAGTACATTTGAAGTTTATTTTTGCAAATATACTTTAAGTTAAGTAGTATATCAAGTATACTACACACCATACTTGTAGTGTACTAGAAATATACTGATTTAATACTTGTTTGGACTGAATTGGGACATTTTTATACTATTTTTAAGTATATCAAATAAAGTTGATAAAAAGTAAACTTCAAGTACACCCTCATTTTTAGTGTAAAATAAGTATACATGTAGTACACTTAAATAAACTACTTAGAATAGTTTCACTCTTCAGCATCCAGACATTCCTCAGACTTTGTTTTGTTTTAACCATTCAAACATCATAATGTTCTGCTTCAGGAGAAGCGTTACGAGTTCTCGTACTTGTAACATTAATACTTTTTGAAATATTTGACTTTATTTGAGATGTCTTTAATCACCTGAAAAACACCATTCTCCGAATTCTGTGTGCTGTTTACTTTATGCTCCTTTTAGCTAATGTCTTGCTAATTTTAGCTTTTAGCTACTGACTTGCTAATTTTAACTTTGAGCTAATGTCTTGCTATTTTTTTCTTTGAGCTACTGTCTTGCTAATTTTAACTTTTAGCTACTTTCTTGCTATTTTTAACTTTTAGCTACTTTCTTGCTATTTTTTTCTTTTAGCTACTGTCTTGCTAATTTTAGCTTTTAGCTATCCATCCATCCATTATCTTTACCCGCTTATTCCATTTTGGGTCACGGGGGTCGCTGGTGCCCATGTCCAGCAATCACTGTGCGAGGGGCGGGGTACACCCTGGACGGGTCTCCAGTCCATCACAGGGACACATAGAGACAAACGAGACAAACAACCATTCACTCTCTCACTCACACCTAGGGACAATTTAGAGTTATCAATCAGCCTAACATGCATGTTTTTGGTCTGTGGGAGGAAACTGGAGTACCCGGAGAAAATCCACGCGTGCACGGAGAGAACATGCAAACTCCACCCAGAAAGGCCCCTGGACCGGCGTTTGAACCAGGGACCTGCTCGCTGAGAGGCAGCAGCTCTACCAGTTGCGCCACCGTGCTGCCAGCTTTTAGCTACTGACTTGCTAATTTTAACTTTTAGCTACTGTCTTGCTAATTTAACTTTTAGCTACTGTCTTAATAATTTTAACTTTTAGCTACTGACTTGCTAATTTTAACTTTTAGCTACTGTCTTGCTAATTTTAGCTTTTAGTTACTGTCTTGCTAATTTTAACTTTTAGCTACCGTCTTGCTAATTTTAGCTTTTAGCTAATGACTTGCTAATTTTAACTTTTTGCTACTGTCTTGCTAATTTTAACTTTGAGCTACTGTCTTGCTAATTTTAACTTTTAGCTACTGTCATGCTAATTTTAACTTTTAGCTACTGTCATGCTAATTTAATAATAAAGCTGATCACAATATTTTACTACAGAGGCTTGAATATGATATTGGGATTACGGGAACAGCTCTAAAATGGTTTAAATCATATCTATATGATAGATTCCAGTTTGTAAATGTAAATAATAAATCTTCTCCATACACTAAAGTTAGTCATGGAGTTCCTCAGGGCTCAGTGCTTAGGACAGTACTCTTTACTTTATATATGCTTCCATTAGGTAAAATTATTAAACAGCATGGGATAAATTTTCATTGTTATGCTGATGACACAATTATATTTGTCCATTAAACCCAATGAATCCAATCAGCTACTTAGACTACAAGCATGTCTTAAAGACACAAAAACCTGGATGACCCTTAATTTTCTCCTGTTGAACAGACAAGACTGAGGTTTTAGTTTTTGGACCTGAGCATCTTAGGAATAAGTTTTTGAGTCTTTCTCCCTCCTTAGATGCATTAATCTGTCCTCCAGCTCTAATGTTAAAAATCTTGGTGTTATGTTTGATCAGGACATGTCTTTTATCCCCCACATTAAAAACGTTACTAGAACCTCCTTCTTCCACCTGCGTAATATCACTAACATTAGAAACATCTGATCTAAAGATGATGCAGAAAAACTGGTCCATGCATTTGTCACGTCTAGACTGGACTACTGCAATGGTTTATTATCTGGATGTCCAAATACTTCTTTAAAACGTCTTCAGTTGATCCAAAATGCTGCTGCCAGAGTCTTAACTGGAGTTACTGGGAGAAATCATATCTCTCCAGTTTTGGTTTCTCTCCATTGGCTCCCTGGATGTAACTGGGACCCTGTGTACATAATTTTGCTCCACCACATGTACCACATGAGGTGTGAATGACAATAAAGAATCTCTGCCTCTCGGACTCTGACTGTCAAATCCAGAATAGATCTCAAAATCTTTTTTCTAACCTACAAAGCTCTCAACAACCTAGCTCCATCTTATATTACAGATCTTATTGTTCCATATTTTCCTAACAGAGCACTTCGCTCTTCAGACTGCAGGTTTACTTGTGGTTCCTAGAATTTACAAAAACAGAATGGGAGGAAGATCTTTCAGTTCTCAGGCTCCTCTCTTGTGGAACCAACTTCCAATCTCTGTCCGTGAGGCTGACACATGGTCCAGTTTTAAAACTAGGCTTAAGACTTTCCTCTTTGATAAATCCTATAGTTGGGGTCGGCTTGGGTTTCCTGAGTTGTCCCTTAGTTATGCTGCTATAGGCTTAGACTGCTGGAAGACAAACTGACCACACTTTTCACTCTGCTACTGTCTTTACTTATCTGCTCAACCTGTTTTGTATTTGTAATTATTGTTTCTATCCTTAACTTGTTTTTTTTTGTTTGTTTGTTATTTTTTTGTCTTCAGATACACCTGGACCTATATCTGGACCTGGACCTATATCTGGACCTATACCTGGACCTACCATTCTGTGTTCGTCTGTCTCTCCTTCCTGTCCTCTCAACCAGCCGGTCAAAGCAGATGGCCGCTTGTCCTGAGCTGGTTCTGCTGGAGGTTTCTTCCTGTTAAAGGGAGTTTTTTCTTTCCACTGTCTCCACTGTGCTTGCTCAGGATGGGAGACTGTGATGAAGCCAAGATTCATCTTGTCTGCTGTATTCCTTAGATAGAGAACTTTACTGATTGGCTTTTATGTGAATGTTCCTGTAAAGTGCCCTGAGACAACTTTGTTGTGATTTGGTGCTACATAAATAAATTGAATTGAATTTTAACTTTTAGCTACTGTTTTGTTGAATTTAACTTTTTGCTGGGTTTTGAATTTTTTTCCTTTTAACTATTGCTTTCCTGAATTTGTTCTGCTTGTTTTAACTTAAACTATTTAGTCTTTATTTAATTTCCCTAGTGGTTTTTTTTCTAACAACTGCCATATAAAGCTGAACATGTAAAGGATAAATAATTATTATTTCCTTAAACATCTGGCTGCTTAAAGTCATTACAAAACCCCAGAAAAGACACGAGTTTGGTAAGTTACTTTTTGCTACATTTTCACTTTACATTCAACTGATGAATCTGTCATTCATTGTTTTTATTTCCAACCTAATAAAACTCAGCGTTTATACAAATATTTAAAGTAATTTATAGTTGCTAAATGAGAGTATTCCTGCAGAGTACTCACAGTTTTGGTCTCCATTCAAACAGGATGAGGTGATGCTGGTAAGGAGAGTATTTTTGGTTGTGTACCTGTGTGTACGCCTCGTTTGAAGGGTCTCCAGGTGTAGGAGGGTTGACCATGATCTCCAGCGCCAGCTGTGGTAAAACTGGAGGGCTGGATGGAGCCTGCATGTTTCCTAAAAACTGCTGAACATCTGGATCCATGTTGACTACCTCCATGTAGCCTCCTCTCAGTCCACACCTGAACACAACGGGAACGTTTACTTTAAAGACATTCCAAAGGAGCTCAAAACTAGAAAAAGTTGTTATTTGTTTCTTAAAGTTATATAATTGTTTGGCTGTTAGGGGTTTGGTCAGCAGCAGGAATAAAAACTCACTCCCCCATTCTGGCTGTGGATATGGAGTGGACCGACACCAACTCCACCGTGTCAGAGTACGGTTCACCCATCTCAAACAGGACCTTTTTATAGGACAGAAAGGTTTTGTCCCGTCCAAACACGCTGTCCTGGAACACCTGGAAGGTGCAGAAAGGTTCATAACCTTTATTTATTCAGGTTAGAAGGTAGAAGGAGGGCCGTTACCTCATCAACCAGCAGGACGAGGCCTTCGGATGAGGCGAACCGAACCACTTCCTGAATTGTTGTCCGGTCCTGAACGTGACCTGACGAGGACGACGGGACAGGTTAAAACAAAAGACCGAAAAGACTTAACTTTAAAGAGAAGAACTACAAAAATAAACTGTCAGTTTTCTTTACATCTTTTTGTTGTCCAGATATTGAAAAAAGGAAGATGAAATAAATAAAGCAAATAAAAATAACATTGACAAAATACAGAGAATGGTGAGAGCTGAATGATGCTGAAACTGGATATATATAAATATATATATATATATATATATATATATACACACACACACACACATATATACATATAAACAAACAAGGGTCTCAGATTAAACAAAGACTGAACTGTGTGAGTTTTGTGTTCCTGTATTGTGTACCTGTATTGTGTGTTGTGTACCTGTATTGTGTGTTGTGTACCTGTATTGTGTACCTGTATTGTGTGTTGTGTACCTGTGGGGTTTCCCGGGTTGCTGATGAAAACAGCTCTGGGCTCACAGACCCCGCTGGCAGCCTTCAGGGCTTCATGCAGCTGGTCCAGGTCTAAGGCCCAGCCTTGATCCTCCAGCAGTCTGTATGGCACTGGTTTCACTCCGACCTCATCCAGCAGGATGGGCAATGTGTGGGGGCAGGGCAGGGGGGTCAACACACCTGTCTGAGTGTGCCCCTCCCCCCTGGACAGCAGGTGTAAAACCAGCTGAACACAGTCCAGAAACATGCTGTCAGCATTCACTCATTGTTTTGCTGTTTACAGTTTTTTAACACGTCTTCGGCATACTTTCAGCTGTTTGAACCATTCATAAATCTAAACCTTCAGCTCGTTCAGGACATGACAGCTGAAACTTTGGGGGTTTTAAACTATATTAAATATTTACTTTTTTTAACAATGAAATAAACAGAAAACTTTAAATTCTTACAAACTTTCAGCTATACTCAAGTAAACTTTTTTGGATTTTTCTACCTGGATTATTGAGCATGCATCAGGATATCAAGTAAACTTGTTTCATGTAGCTTTCAACTACTACTTAGCTCGTTTTAGCTTTTAGCTACTGTTCTGCTATTTAGCTACTACATTTTAACTAATTTATCTTTCTGCTATTGCTTTGCTGGTCATATCTTTTAGCTACTGTTAAGCTGTTTTTAGCTTTAAGCTAGTTTTGCTTTCCTGATGCATGCTCAATAATCCAGGTAGAAAAATCTAAAAAAGTTAAATCTGGTCCTCTGGACATTCAAAAAAAAAAAAAAGCAAATCAACAAAAAAATGTAGAAACGTTTCATCTCTCATCCAAGAGACTTCCTCAGTCTGAGGAGCTGTTTTCAGCTCAGTCTCTTAAATAGCACCTTCTCAGAGTGGATCAACCAGTTTGCTGCTGACAACCAAAACCAGCTGATCACATGCTCAAGAAGGACCATCAGCCTAACAATGGGTCATTAGCACACTGATGGCTGTTTACTGTTCACAGAGGGCTATCAACATAATCAGGCCAGGACTCTGCAGTCTACACTCATCTCCAGGCCAGCGGTCACTCTTTCAGGGATGAAGATGTTCACATCCTGGACAGAGAGGAACGATGGTTTGAGAGAGGAGTAAAGGAGGCCATCTTTGTGAAAAGAAATCGTCCATCATTAAACAGGGGTGGAGGCCTCCGGGTTCAACTGTCCCCCTCTTACAATGCTGTGATTGCTAGTATCACTCAGCCCTCTGTGAATAGTAAACAGCCATCAGTGTGCTAATGATCCATTGTTAGGCTGATGGTCCTTCTTGAGCATGTGATCAGCTGGTTTTGGTTGTCAGCAGCAAACTGGTTGATCCACTCTGAGAAGGTGCTATTTAAGAGACTGAGCTGAATACAGCTCCTCAGACTGAGGAAGTCTCTCGGATGAGAGACGAAACGTTTCTACATTTTTTTTGTTGATTTGCTTTGTTTTGTTTTTTTTGAATGTCCAGAGGACCAGATTTAACTTTTTTAGACTAGTTTTGCTTTATTAAACTTTCAGCTACCATTCTGCTAATTTAAATTTTTAAGTTCCTGTTCTGCTGTTTAAATATTTTAAACGGTCTTGCTAATTATATATTTCCTATACTGGTTTACAGGTTTTAGCTTTCAGCTATAGTTTTAGTTTTAAGCTGATCTATTGTTTATTGTCAGGTTTTCTGCATTTCATGCCAAGCTCTGTACTCTACCACGGCCACGCTGCACTTCAGCTCAATCAACACTCACGCCCTGCACCCGTTCCCCGCTCTGTTTAAGAGCGCTTGTCACCCAAGCTCCTCACCAGATTATCGAACCCTATGTGGAAACAGATGTTCAGCGTTCATGTCACAGCTCTATCTGATCATCTTGTCTCGACCTCACGCCTATTTTCTGGAAAACCCAACCTGCCTGTTCCTTGCCTGTTCTTGTATTGCCCTTCTGACCTCGTTACCGATCTTCTGGCCCATCAACTACAACGCATGGAACACCCTTTTGGATTTATTCTTGGATCTCTGACCCCCTGTGTATGATCCCCAACTCTATGCCTGGATCTTGCCTCTGGATTACCCTTTGGATCACGTCTATCTCAGCCCTGTTCTTCAGCTGCGTTTCACCCAGTGACGGTGAAGTCATCCTGCCCAGCTCCAACAGGTGGCCCCCACCTCACCTGCATGAGAAGGTTAGTGGCTGTCTTTCTGTTTATCTCCTCTCTCACAGAAACATTCAGTCCACTAACTTTCATATCTCTACAGATTGGGCCTGCCATGGGATTCTGACCTCCAACAGCAGCTGTTTAACAATAAACCTTTTAAACATTCTAGTTGTCCATCTTGCTCGAGTCCTAAAACCCAACTCTTGTCAGAATAATCTGGCCAAAATGGATTTGACGCCGACTCAAGAATGGAGCTCTGGTGTTAAGGGGGCCATTGTTAAATTAGAGAATAACACGCAGGAGATGATGAATTTGCTCCGCAATCTTTCTCATCAGTCTCCCTCACAGGCTCCTACCCACATGACGTCTGTTCAACCCACACCTGCTTATCATGTTTCCCCGTTTATGAACCCCAATTGGCACCGCCTGAGGCATTCAAAGGAGAGCCGGATCATTTTCATCCGTTCATCACTCAATGTGAGATTCATTTCTGGCTTCCGCCCTCATCGTTTCCTTCAGAGAGATCCGAGGTGGCTTAGGTCATTTCTCTTCTGTCAGGTAAGGCCAAATTATGGGGGACCGCTGAATGGCAGCGGGATGCCAGACATTGTTACTCTTTTAGCGAGTTTACTAAAGAGCTTTGCCGGGTCTTTGACCTCATCTTACCTGAGAGAGAGGCAGCCTGGGTGTTGTTGTCTTTAAAACAATGGGAAAGAAGAGTCTTCAAATATATCATTGACTTTCATACTGTCATGGCTGACAGCCAATGGAATGAGGAGGCTCTAACTGGACTAAATTATGAAATAAAAGATTAATTGGCCACCAAGGACTACCCTGAGTCTCTAAAAATGCAGAAGGACTTGGCTACTTGCATCGACCTTTGACACTTGGAGAGAAGACGTGAGAGGGGAGGCAAGGTGGAGAGATCAGCCCGCCCATGGGGTGAGTCTAAACACCTCTCATTAAAGAACTCGCCTGTTCCTGTGTCCATGCCCCCACAGGCTGAGGAGCCGAGCTCTGTAGAAGCCGTCTCACCCAGGAAGAGAGAGAGAGGAGGAGGTTGAATCTATGCTTCTATTGTGGGAACGAAGGACATTCTGTTAACAAATACCCACAAAAAGATCAGACTCAGTAAGGGAGAGGGGAGTCCTACTGAGTCATATTAGGAACCACATCTCCTCACACTGCCTGTATAATATAGCAACTTTTTTATTAAATTTAGCTTGAAATTTCTTGAAAATTAAAGTTAAATTGCTTTTCTATTTACAGTTATTAAATAATTTTAGACAGTTATACTCTTAAGCTACTGTTCTGCTGGTTTTAACTTTTAGCTACCCTCCTGCTTTTTTCGGAATTATTGACACTCTCTTGTTGTTTTTAGCTTTTAGCTACAATTTAGCTCATTTCAGCCTTTGGAGCTTGTTTTTTTTTTTTTGATGAAGTGTGAAGCCGGTCCCTGGTTGTCATACCGACAGAACTTTCTGTGAGCCACTAGAGAAAATGATGTTTTCTGGTTTTGAGCTGATGCCACCATCTCTCCTGGAGATGAACTCAGCAACAGATCTCTGGACCTGTGGGATCCCGCAGAAAGAGGCAGAGTAGGATCCTGTCAAGCCAAATAGAGTTAGTTAAAGCATGAAAAGATCAAATGCTTAATTAAAAGGAAATGTTTGATAAAAAGCTAAAAAGCTAAATAATCATCTTCTGACCGATGCTGCCTCCATTACAGATGTCAAGTAACTTCTGAGCTCTCCGTCTGACGTCCTGTGGAAGGCTGGTGTCTTTGAGGAGCTCAGGGTACAAGCAAACAGCTAACACCTTGGAGGCAAACAGGAAGTGAGACAGATTCAGACAGGTGATTGGTGTCAGGGTCACAGATACAAAGGTTTACCACCGACCTGACGGACAAATGAGAGTGGTGACATTCCTGCTCTGTGAGGGTCACCTGAGCTGACGTCCATCACCTTCTTGAATGGTTTCTTCTCACCCTGAACACAAAAACAAAACATTCAAAATCATCAGCCCAGTCACCGAATCACTTTATTCTGTTTTTGTGAAATCTCAAGCCGGCTTCATTCTGTTTACCTGTTTTTATTTTACATTTAGCTAATTTAGCCATTTATCCATTTAATTCAAATATTTATCTTTATTTATAATTTTTCCCCCATAAAAATGCTTTCAGATCTCTTCACCTCCTTTATAAACTTTATTGTCTTTAAAATCTAATTCAGCTACTCGATCTTCTAATAGTTTTTGGCTACCATTTTTCTAGACCACCAGCAGCAGGCTGGTGAGCACCTGGTGGTTGAGCGTAAGCTCCTGGGGCTCAGCCGGGTCAAGCCCTAAAAAATAACAGGAAGATACCTGCACGTGGACCCGCCCCCTGCGGGGAGATCCATGGTCATGCTGTGCATGTCAGGTGACAGGCGAGGGAGGATCTCAGGCTGAACTCATTCCTAGGGGCATAGACTAGCTCATGGGACATGGAACATCACCTCACTGGTGGGTAAGGAACCAGAACTTGTGTGTGAGGTTGAGTGGTACCAATTAGACATAGTTAGGCTCTCCTCTACACACAGCTTGGGCTCTGGAACCCAACTCCTGGAGTGAGGATGGACTCTCTCCTACTCCAGATTTGCCCAGAGAGAGAGACATCGGGCGGGGGCAGGGATGCTCACAAGCCCCTGGGTGAATGACTTGATGTTGGAGTTTTCCATGGTGAATGAGAGGATTGCCTCTCTGCAGCTTTGGGCTGCAGGTGGGAAGGTACTGACTGTTGTGCTTATGCACCAAACATCAGTTCAGATTACCCAGCCTTTCTGGAGTCTCTGGATGGAGTCTCGTAATGGGTACCATCAAGGGATTCCCTCGTTGTACTGGGTGACTTCTATGCCCATGCGAGCAATGATGGACTTATCTGAAAGGGGGTGATTGGGAGGAACGGCCTCCATGATCTGAACTCAGATGGTGTTTGCTTATTGGACTTCTGCGCTACAAATTGTGCTAGGATTGTCTATGACGAGCTCCAAGTTTGAGCATAGGGTGGCTCATGTTCTTGGTACCAGAACCTGCTTAGGCCAAAGGTCGATGATCAATTTTGTAATCATCGTTTGAGGTGAGGCCACATGTCTTGGACACTCGGGTGAAGAAAGGGGCAGAGGTATCAACTGATCACCACCTGGTGGTGAGTCGGATCTGGTGGCGGGGGAGGCTGTCGGACAGACCTGGTAAACCCAAATGCATAGTGAGGGTGAATTGGGAAAGTCTGGTGGAGCCCTCAGTCCATGTGACTTTCAACATACACCTCCAGGAAGAGTTTTCCACATTTCCTGGGGGAGGTTGGAGGTATAGAAACCAAAAGGGCCATGTTCAGGGCCTCTATTGCAGATGTGATTTCCATGAGTGGTGAACTGAAGGTCACTGGGACCAAATAACCTTCACCAGCATTGAAGGAGGTCATCAAGATGAAGAAGGGGACCTTCAGAACTTGGTTGATCCAAAGGACTCCTGAAGCAGTTGACAGGTACAGGGTGTCCAGAAGGATTGCAGCTTTGGTGGTTGCGGAAGCAAAAGCTTGAGGAAAGACAAGTCCATTATCATGTCAGAGGTCACGAGGTAGTCAAAAAGCTCCTCGGTGGCTGGGTGCCATGGGTGGTTGAGATTCGCCCCGAGATGCTGAAGGCTCGGGATGTTGTGGGGCCATCATGGTTGACACAAGGCAGAGACTCGAATGAACTTGGTTTAAAAACCTGCCTTGATATGAATTTCTTCATGGAAGGCAAGGAGTCAGTGAGTTGGCGTTAATAATTAAAAAGGAACTTTAATCCCGTTATAGACTTAAGTTAGAATTTAACCATCATCACTAAACCTTCTGCCAATGAATAATTTGACTCAAATATTCAGATTGTATCTGACTGTTTTTTACATTATTCATGTTTATTCTGTTTTAACTTAGTCCGACGATGTTCACTATTCAAACATTTACTTTGCATTTCACGCTACACTGATTCAAGAAAAAATAAACTTATATAAACATTTACAACACTGTGAGATATTAAACTTACCAACAGCAATAAAATAAACTCAACCAGCAGCTAAATGTGATAAATGTGCAGGTAAAAGCACAAAAAGTTAGTTTAAAACACAGAAGCTGAAAACAAAATACATTAAAACATGACGTTTTTACACGAGTTTATAATTAACAATTTATTCCTCTCACCTGTGAGAGCTGCTCTGTGATTCGTGCAGCCAGACCCTGCAGGTCCACCGGGGTTCTGATCCCCCGGACCCTCGGGTTCACGTCTCTCAGGGAGCTCATCTTTGTCCGTCAGACGGCTGATCGGGTTCAGAAATACACCCAGCGGTCCTCTCAGGAGGCAGGCGTTACAGGGTTGTTACGTAATAAAGTAAGGCTCAAAGTTAGTTATAACTCATGATGTCAGGTTTAGTTTAACCAGTTAAAACCCTGGAATAAGTTAAACCCGCTTCGTACCACAGAGGCCTTTATATGTTCTGAAAACAGCAACACAACGTTAAATATGTTTAATTTTATTCATTCTAAATGGATTCATTACAATTTATTCTCATTTAAAGACACTTCTGTACAGTCAGGTTCAATAAATTAGTAAATATAAAATGACAATTAATGAAAAGTTGCATCAGATCTTCACTTCATCCAAAAGGCAAAGTTAAAGTTTGACATGAAGTTACTTGAACTCATGACTCGTTCAGATCACATTTTTCTGCATGACAGTCTGGATTTAATGCATTTTAAACCTTTGGTCGCTTCTTCTCCAGTGAAAGCTGCTGAGTCAAACGTTCATCTCCACCGTTAATGACGAGCTACAACTTTTATTGTTTGTACTCTTTTAAATATTTTTCTACAGAAATACATTAAGATATAAATTTTTTTTAATCATTGTTTTTCAAAACAGCTTTAACAAACTTTCATTGTTTTTGTTTTCTTGTGCTTCTCTTTGCTTTTAGCTAAACATTTATTAGCTTGGACCTTCCTTTCTTCTACATTCAGCTAGCATTTTGCTACTTTTGACCTATATTCTGCTACTTTTTGCTACCATTTTACTGTTTTCAACTAGTATTTTGCCTTTTTTAGCTAGCATTTCACAACAAATAGCTTATGTTTTGCTTCTTTTAGATAACGTTTTGCTATGTATATGTCAGGGATCTATACTTGGGCCCCTTCTGTTTTACCTTTTCTTACTCCCTCTGGGATATATTCTCTGGAAACATGGTGTTACTTTTCATTTTTATGCTGATGACAGACAAATTTATGCGCCATTAAACCAAAATAAACAGTACTCCGTGAACCAACTCCTGTAATGTACGGCAGAAGTCAGAGCATTGATGTCACAGAACTTTTTACATTTTAATGAGCAAAAGACCAAAGTCTTGTTGTTTAAGCCGATGGTTCCAAAGTCCGTGCTGATCTGGGTCCTTTAGCACATCATCTGACTGAGACAGCAACTAACCTGGGCGTGAGGCTGGACAATGATTTTAAACTTGACACACAGGTTAGTTTTTTACTGGACTTGATCACTGATTAAGGTTCTTTTATTTGTTTTTAAATGTCTTCATGGTCCCACAGTATCTGTCCAACCTGCTCCAGCCGTACGTTCCCTCAGGTCAGCAGATCAGCTGCTGCTGGTCGTTCCAAAGTCCAACAGGAGGCTGAGGTGACCTAAACTGTGGAACGTGTGCCTTTTGACATCACTTCCTGTTTTTAAATCTTCTCTGAAAACACATTTGTTCTCTTTGGCTTTTAACTCAGCCTAAAATGTTGGTTTACTGTTTTTAATTTATTTGTTTTTACTGTTTGCTGTTTTATGATTTTAACAGTTCATTACTTTTACGGTTTCAGTTGATTTGTTTACGCTTGCTTGTGTTAGTGTACACCACTTTGGCCCACGGTGTTGTTTTTAAAGTGCTTTATAAATGAAATTTTATTGTATTGTATATATTTGCCAGTAATATTTTAGCAACCATTTTACAGCTTTTAAGGTTTAGCTACGATTTAGTTTATCTTTTTAGCTACTGTTTTGCTGATATTTACTTTTAGCAACAGTTTAATCATTTGAGCTTTTAGCTACACAGTTGCTAGTTTGACATTTCAGCTATGGTTTTGTTAATTTCAGTTTTTAGCTAGTTTTATGAAGTTGAGCTTTTGGCTGCTTTATTGCATATATTTGTTTTAGTAATAGTTGCTAAGTTGTTTTTTCTGCTGTGGTTTTGCTCAATTTAGCTTTTAGCTATGGTTCGGTAAGTTAAACTTTTGGCTACTGTTTTGCAATTTTTCACTTTTAACAGTTTGTTCACTTTTTGCTTTTAGCTAGTTTTAATAAATTGACCTTTCAGCTTAAGTTTTGCTCAGTTTAGCATATATCTGCTGTTTTTCTTCCCTATGGCTTTGATAAATATTTTTAACTATAGTGTGGTAATTTTAGCTTTTAGCTACAGCTACTTTTAATTTTAGAAATGAGTTTGCTAAAATGAGGTTTTAGTAACAGTTGTGCTGTTTAGCTTTTAGCTGCTGTTTTGCTAATTTTTACATTTAGCTACAATTTAGTCTATTTTTAGCATTTAGCTAGTTTTGCTATATTGACTTTTTTTTAAAGATTTGCTAAATTTAATTTCAGCTTTAGTTTGGCTAATGTTTACGTTTACACGCTCGTTGCTTAGTGAAACTTTCAGCGACGGTTTTGTTGATTTCAGCTTCTGCTCTGCTTGTTTTAACTTTAACAGCTCAGATAATCAGTTTTCCTTCAATTCAAACAGTTTATTCTGTAAATGTTCTATTTCTGTTCGTCAGATGTTTTCTGAGAGATGATTGTTTAGCTTTGGGCTCATTCCGTCTTCAATGGGGACATGCGGAGTGAAGACGTGTCTCTTCTTGTGTCTCTCCTCAGTTTTGAGGTTCATGAGCCGAAGGTGGAAGGAAGAGAGTCGAGACAGAACCTCCTCCAGCGTGTCGGCAGGAACCAGGATGCTTAACCTGGAGGACAGAAAACTTTATTTCCTGAAAACCCAACGAACCAGAGGATCACTGCTGAGAGACTTTCTGTGTCCTACCTGAGATGATGGCTGCCAGCTGCTCCACCTGCACCTACAACCAGTCCCTCCTCCTCCTGTAACTTTAGACGGTACCAAACATCTGCCTCCAGCCCCATCGTCTGAAAACGGAAAGCCGTAAACATGTCCTGAGTGTCCTGAGTGTCCTCAGTGTCCTCGTGTTTCTTTTCCAGAGCTCCCACCTCAGCTTCCTGTCTCATCTCCTCTGGCAGAAGCAAGCAAGGATAAAGGTAGATCCCCCCCATCGCCGGCTGACACCTCATGCCTGGTAGATCGTTCAGAACCTTCAGAGCCCGCTCAGCATTTTGGATCAAAGTGGCATGAACAAACCCGGTCTCCTTTGGCGATGAAGACACCAGGATGTAGGCGTAAGACACCAGGATGTAGGCGTAAGAATCAGGCAACATCGACAGCTCGTGAGGGCTTGTGGTCGGTACGAACCTGAGCGTGAGTGTCGTATGAAGGGTCTCCAGGCCGGGGCGGGTGGAGCATGAGGTCCAGAGCGAGCTGTCCGGTAACCGGAGTACTGATGTCTGTGCAGAGCAGGGTGTCCACGAAGTGCGTCACTTCTGGGTCCATGTTGATGACCTCCATGAATCCTGCTCTCAGGCCACACCTTCACACATATCAGAGCGTCATCAGCACATTTAAAACAAATATTTATCCTAAATAATAGTTTATAATATTTAATTTGGCTCATAAATCAGTTTATACAATTGTGTGTGTTAGGGTTAAGACATTAACTATTGCCTTAATGAAAAAACTTTATTAGGATGTAAAAATAGAAACTTGGAACCAAAAAAACTGCAGCATGAACTGAAACATTTTCTGTTTTCGTTAAAGCTACGCTTAAAATAACTGCCAGTGATAAGAACTAGAATGTGTGAAGGCTGAAACTAATTAATTGTCTGAACAAACTGAAACGGGGAAAAAACAAAACAAGGTTTGTAAGCTCAACCATCAGGTAGATAAATCACAGAAAAGGTTGTGCAGATGATTTAATCTTTTTGTGAAGCTGAAACTGAGTCGTCATGCTGTAAAAAGGTGAACACTAGCTAAAAATTAAATGTGCTACACACAAACTAAAAGCTTAAAGATGCTAAATAGTAGCTAAAAGAAGCAAAGGGGTAGCTAAAAGGATAAAAAATGTTGACTAGAAGTAGAATGAGTAGCTAAACATAGCAAAAAGTCTGGATAGAAGCTAATAGCAACAGACTGACTTAAAGCTAAAATTATTAAAAAGCTGCTCAAAAAGTAAAAGTAGTAAAATATTAACTAAAAGCAGGAAAGGCTAGCTGAAGTGTAAAGGTAGCAGAATAGTGGCTAAAAACTAAAAATTGTCAGCAAAAATAAAAGCAGAGCAAGAGAACAAAGTATTTAGAATAACTTGATCGTCGTGCATTTCATGAGTAAAATACTTGAAAAATGAAGTGAAATCTTTTAAAAATGTACAAAAGTTATGATATGTGAACAGCTAAACTAAACTCAAAATAGTGATGGTGCAGAATAAAATGACAGAAAAAATAAAACCTTTGTGTGACGGCTGAGACAGGAAGGACTCACTCTGCCACACAGGCGCAGGATAACGAGTGAAACGAGACCAGCTCCACGTTTTCTCTGAAAACTGGGCCCATCTCAAACAGGACCTTCTTGTAGGAAATAAACTCTTGGTTCTGTGCGTACACACTGTCCTGGTACACCTGAGAACCACAAGAGAAGACCTGACAGCTCTGGAAAAAGCTCTGCCTTGAGTCCCAACCTGAAGAGACGGCTCATGTTCACCTCATCGACCAGCAGCAGGAGCTTCTCAGCTGCTGCAAACTTGATCACTTCCCGAATCAACTTCCTGTCCTGCACGTGGCCTAAAAACACAAAGTGAGAAGTGAGGACAACAGTGTGGGTTGAGTTTGCTTGCTGTGTGTTGCACACCTGTTGGGTTTCCTGGGTTGCAGATGTAAATGGCCCTGGGCAGGCAGCGCCCCCTGCAGGCCGTCAGAGCTCGGCGAAGCTCCTTCAGGTCCACGGCCCATTGTCGCTCCTCCTCCAGCAGGTAAGACACTGACATCACCCCGGCCTCATCAAGCAGGGCAGGCAGGGTGTGTGGACACGGCAGGGGGGTTAGAACACCCGCCGGAGTCTGACCCTCCTCTGTGGACAGCAGCTTCACAACCACCTTGCCCAATAAAGTACAAACGTCATCCTCCAGCTTGGACTTAAATATATGTACACACAGTCTGACGTGAGCTAACAGGGACCAGGACATGTGCCTCGTACCATCTGAGCTCTCTGAGCACCACTGGAGACAAAGATGTTTCTGCTGGACGCGGGAACTCCAGCGTCTCGCTTTGTGATGAACTCAGAGATTCGTTGCCTGATGTGAAGCAGTCCAGAGGAGTCGGCGTAGGAACCTGAACAGATGTGATCAAAACATCAGACAGCAGCTGAGACAGCTCAGACCACTGGAACTGTGTGAAAGTACACAAAACAACTTCAGCTACTGGACAGCAAGTTGCGAAAATCATGGACCGATGCTGCAAAAAGTCGCAGCAGACACAAACGAAAGGCCTGGGGTTGTGTTGACTCCAAAAGTTTATCAGTTGGTGTGTAACAGCTGTTCAGACAAACAACAACTCGGTTGCTCCGCTCGGTGGACTGAACGGCTGCAACCTTTAAACTCAACAAATGTCAGAGTGTTTCTGAGGAGACACAGTCATTTGATGAAGATGTTGAAAAGGTTTGAACTTTTTGTGAACCTTCAGGAGTGACTAACAACAAAGTCCATGCTCAGTAATGCAGGTATACAATCCAACATTTTTCAGTCGGGTCATCTGGACAGCTTCTTTTTTTTTTGTGCTGAAACGTTTCGCCTTCGATCCAGAAGGCTTCATCAGTCAAGGAAACACACAACAAAACTGATTCTTTCCAACAGCTTACTCCAAAGTGGAACAAACCAGTTATGTTGGTGCTAAGTTGGTCTCTTGTTACTCCCCCTCCTCCATTGTTGGGGGAAGAATCTGTTTTGTTGTGTGTTTCCTTGACTGATGAAGCCTTCTGGATTGAAGGCAAAACGTTTCAGCACAAAAAAAAGAAGCTGTCCAGATGACCTGACTGAAAAATGTTGGATTGTATACCTGGATTATTGAGTATGGACTTTGTTGTTCTCAACCAGTTTGACACGACTGTCAACAAGGAAGAGGGCCGGCAATGGAGGAGGGGGCATGTCAAAGGCACCATCTTAGCACCAACATAACTGGTTTGTTCCACTTCGGAGTAAGCTGTTGGTGGAAGAATCAGTTTTGTGTTGTGTGTTTCCTTGACTGATGAAGCCTTCTGGATTGAAGGCGAAACATTTCAGCACAAAACAAAAAGAAACTGTCCAGATGACCTGACTGAAAAATGTTGGATTCAGGAGTGACTGATACAATTTAGCAAAATTTAGCATTTAGCTGCTGTTTTAATTATTTATTATAAGCAACAGTTTTGTTAATTGAATTTCTTATCTACCAGTATGTTTTTTTGCTAAGTTGCTAAACTTGCTAAAATACTATTAATTAATTAGTTAATTAATTTTCTTAATTTTAGCTTTTAGCTACTCTTTTGCTAGTTTGATATTTTACATATGGATTTGTTAAATGCAGTTTTTAACTAAAGTTTAATATTTAGCCAATGTTTTGCAAAGTTGTACTGTTGGGAACAATTCTAATTAAACTTTTTTATTTATGTATTTGCTAGTTAGTTTTTAGCTATGGTTTGGCAACTTTTGTTTTTATTTTTGCTATTTATTTTTTGTTGCTGCTGGTAAACTTAGCTTTTTGCTACTGTTGTGATATTTTTCCCTTTTAGCAACAGTTTGGTCATTTTAACTTTTAGCTTCAGTTTTGTTAAATTGATATATTGGCTTTGCCCAACTGTTTTTAGCTGCTGCTCTGCAAATTTTTAGCTTTCAACTAGCTAAATTTGAGCTTTTAGCTAGTTTTGCTATTTTTACTGTTTAGCTAAAGATTTGCTAAATTTGCCATGTATCTTTAGTTTGGCAAATTTTTACTTTTGCAAAATCTTTGCTAATTTTAGCATCCGTCCCCCCAGTTCAGTCTTTGTAGACAAAGGTCCTGACCCACGCTCTCCCCATCACACGCCTCCAGGAGCCTCTGAGCTCTCAGCCTGACATCTGAAGGAAACCTTTCGTCTCTCAGCAGCTGAGGGTACAAACAAACTGCCAGGACCTGAGAAACAAGAGCACACCCACTCATTACAGGAGAAAAGAGGTTGTAGTGTCTAAGATTCACGTAATCCAAAATAATAAAAGCTAACCTGTCGAAGGAACGTGACAGGTTTCATTCCTGCTGAGTGGGAGTCACCTGAACTGACGTCGATCACATCCTTGAAGGATTTCTTCTCTCCCTGCAAGAGAAAAGAGCTCAATGCTGATCGGGACTACGTCCAGTGCTGAAAGTGCACCTCCTAAAGGCAGCTTCGGTTGTGATGCTATCAAACTGTGATCTCATATTTAGCAGAGTTGAAGCCATAAAAAGTTTATTCTTCTGCTTCTGGAAGTGGGACAGATTCAGTCAGGTGCTCGGTGTTGGAGTCAAAAGTAGAAACAAGAAACACACCGCTAACACCTGAGAGACAAACAGGAAGTGGGACAGATTCAGGTAGTTGCTCGGTGTCTGGGTTACAGGTAGAAAGGTTCTTTGCTACCTTCTGCTAATTTTAGCTTTTAACTATTATTCCCTTACTCTAAGCTTTTAGCTTAGCTAGCCCTTTGCTACGTTTAGCTTCTAGTTACCTTACTAATACTTTGAGCTTTAAGGTAGCCTTTTAAGGCAGTTTTATGCTACTTTTAATTTTTAGCTGCCATTTTGTTAAAAAATTCAAACCTTGATAAAAAAAATAAAAAAAAAACAACAGTTACATCAAGAAACCTTGCCCGGAAAATGGAAACCAGGGCACCTAATGGAGCCAGGCCTGGGGGGTGGAAGACGTGAATTGGGAATGTCTGGTGGAGCCCTCAGTCCATGCAACCTTTAACTCTCACCTCCTGGAGAGTTTTTCACATGTCCCGGGTAAGGTCGGGGACATGGAATTTCAATGGGCCAGGCTCAGGACAAGCAATCAAGGGACCCGCTGACAGACACCAGCGGTGAAGGAGGCTGCCAAACTGAAGAAGGAGGCCTTCAGGATTTTGTTGTTCTGGAGGACTCCTGAAGCAGCTGACAGGTACAAGGTGGCCAGAAGAGCTGCAGCTTTGGTGGTTGAGGAAGCAAAAAACTCAGGCATGGGAGGAATTCAGGGAGGCCATGGAGAAGAACTTCCAGTCAGCCTTGAGGAAGTTCTGGCAAATGGTTCAGTGACTCAGTAAAGGAAAACAGATCTTATCCCAGGCAGTGCTTGGTTTGGGTGGGGAACTGATGAGGGGTACTGTTGAGCATTGGAAGGAGCACTTTGAGCATCTCCTAAATCCACCCACCACATCCACCTTTGTAGAGGCAGGGACTGAGGACTCAGGGAAAGGCGAGTCCATTATCTTGGCAGAAGTCACAGAGGTAGTCAACAATCTCCTCGGTGGCAGGGTGCCATGGGTGGATGAGATTCGCCCTGAAATGCTAAAGGCTCTGGATGTTGAGGGGCTGTCATGGTTGGGGGCCAAGATGGGGTAGAGGTAGGGCAGCCATCTTGGGATCAGAAAGTTGCGGTTCGACTCCCAGCCATTCCCACATGTCGTCATGTCTTTGCCGTAATGTATTTTGGGGTTTAAAAGCCACTGGGACGTTATGTTTAGAAAATAAACGTCTCAGTTTCTCTGATACTCCCTCAACATCTGGAATGACCACTGGTCTGGGTCTGGGTTCCTCCTTTTCACCTGATGGCTGACTGGAGTCATGTTTGGGTTTCTTCTCTGCTTTCAGGAAGGCCCAGTTAGGATATCCACATTGCTCTAGAGCCTGTCTTGTGTGGGATTTCTCCTTCTGCCTGGCTCCCGAGCTAGTGGGGACGCTGTCTGCTCTGTGGTACAGAGTCCTGATGACTCCTAACTTGTGTTCCAAGGGGTGATGGGAGTCAAACCGCATAGTACTGGTCTGTGTGTGTGTTGTTTTTTTTTTTCATTCAACCTTTATTTAAACAGATAAATCACAATGAGCCTTGAAGACTCATTTACAAGTGAGACCTGTTTGGACAAACAAAAACAGTGGTTAACTGGACACATGTAGGAGTTGGAGGCATAAAAAAATACTATCAGACTTTTTAATAATAATAATAATAATAATATTCTAATCTATTATTATAATATTATAATATTCTATCTAATATTAAAAAACACTTCACACAAACAAGCACATATTTACGTAGACAATCTGCAGACGGGGGAGACGAGAGCGGTCAGCAATGTTCATAGATGCTCTCGAGGTCACTGTAAGTGTTCTGATAGGATGTAATAATCAATGTCCTCCGGTGAGATCCATAAACATTCTCGAGGGATGCCGAGGAATGGCCAAGAATAACGTTTATGAGAATCCAAGAGTCCTGAAATGATGACACAAAGTTTATTCAGCTGGTTCCATCTGGTTATCAGTTGGAAATTCCTCAGGGAGGGGGTGGTGAGCGTCAGATCACATGTTCTTCAGGCGAATTCAGATAAGCTGGCCTTCAAGGCCAGCCAAGGGAGCCAAATTCAGATGAACACACAGTTGTTTTGGGGACAGGCAGAATTTAATGACATCTACCTTCAGTCTGTGTTGGTCGACTTGGTTCTGAAATGTCCAAAATACATGGCCTCACCGATGGAACGTGACTGAGTAAAATCCCCAAGATCTGATCCATTCTGTCCAAAGCATTTGAGTCTGGGTACTCGAGGTACGAACCAAGCCATCATAAAGGCAAGGAGCATAATCGAGTCCAAATTTGCTGCCGACAACTTCCTTGATTGTTGTTAAAAACCAGCAACCAGCTGAATCCAAAAATAGCAGGAACCAGTTATCGAAAAGTCAATTAAATATGCGTCCTTAAAATCCACAGATGGCAGCAGAGATAGACACATCATCAAGTCTTCCAGTTGATGAGATATCCTGCTGCGTGCCAAAAGGGCAAATCGGCTCGCATAATGCCTGTCTTCTCTTTGAAGAAATGTTGTAAATTGAGTTGAGGGCCCAATTGATCAAAACAGTTGTGGTACACATCACAGCAACCCCTGTTTATGGCCATACCACCCTGAAAACGCCCGATCTCATCTGATCTCGGAAGCTAAGAAGGGTCGGGCCTGGTTATTACTTGGATGGGAGACCGCCTGGGAATACCAGGTGCCGTAAACTTGGGGCCGAGATGGGGTAGAGATAGGGCAGCCGACCTGAGACCAGAAAGTCACAGTTTGACTCCCAGCCATTCCCACATGTTGTGGTGTCTCTGAGCAAGACACCCAATCCCCATTTGCTCCCCAGGCACTTACATAGCTGCCCACTGCTCCACCTGTGTGTACCCCAGGTGTGATGGGTTAAATGCAAAGAAACAGTTTTGTCTTTGTATGGGAACATACAATGATGATAACATATAGCACTTATACTTATATTTATATATCAGTTTCCAAATGTCCTCCATCAGAGACTGAGACCTCAAAGTCCAAGAAAGCCAACCTGCCATCTTTTACATATTCTCATGTGAACTTGATGTATTTATCCACACAGTTGATGTGATCAGTTGTCAGGGAATTTTTGGTCAAAGATTATGGATGTTTTTATTACTTTGTCTGAAAACATTCTTCCCCTCTGTCCTGAGAACAAGAAGCCCAAAACAAGCGAGAACCATTTCCTAAGACACTATTATATAGTGGGCCCATGAACCATATGTTTGTGTAAATGAAGAGTGTTGTGTAAGGAGACTGCGGCTGGCTTCAAGGACCCCTCCTGACCTCTGTGAACTCGGCTGAGCTGAGAGGAGTATAAGAGGAAGCAGATAACAAAGCTAGTAGCTTTTTTCTGTGACTGGTTTTCATGCGTATATATGTTATGTAACGTGTCCTGAATGAGGTCCTTGCAAGTATAAAATACCAATTAAGAATCTTCTCCTTCTGTTGAGTGTGGTTATTTTGGGTAATTAACATCAGAGAACAAGAAAATTTCTCCTACATCAGTGAAATGTTGGACTTCCTGAGATTTGATTTTAACCCAGGTGTCATCAACATACCTGAACCAATGACTCGGTGGTGTCCCTGAAAAAGACGCTGAGGCTCTCTTTTCTCTCTATTTTGGAGTTTTGTTCATGAGTGAGGGAAGAATGGAGAGTGAGGTTGGCAGATGGATTGGTGCAGCATCTGCAGTATTGCGGACTCTGTATCGGTCTGTTGTGGTGAAGAAGGAGCTGAGCTGTAAGGCAAAGCTCTCTGTTTACCTGTCGGTCTACGTTCCTACCCTCACCTATGATCATGAACTCTGGGTAGTGACCGTGAGAATGAGATCATGGATACAGGTGGTTGAAATGAGTTTCCTCTGCAGGGTAGCAGGACTCGATAGGGTGAGAAGTTCAGTAATCCAGGAGAGACTTGGAATACCACTGCTCCTCCACATTGAGAGGAGCCAGTTGAGGTGGTTCAGGCATCTGGTAAGGATGCCCCGTGGACGCCTCCCTAGGGAGGTGCTTCGGGCATGTCCAACTGGGAGGAGAGCCCGGGAAAGACCCAGGACATGCTGGAGAAACAACGTCTCTCGGCCTTGGAGTCCTCCCAGAAGAGCTGGAAGTGGTGGCTGTGGAAAAAGATGTCTGGGCCTCTCTGCTCAAGCTGCTGCCCCCGAGACCCAACTTCAGAATACGTGGAAGATGATGGATGGATGGATGGCTTTCTTTTCAGAGAGATGCAGAACAGAGTAATATTGTGTATGTAAGTGCCTATCGCTGTTTATCACGATGCGCTAAGATTCATAACTGGCTGTAACCACTACACCCACATTCACTGGTTAACTGGTCATCATTAACTTAACACAGACTCTCCCACTGGTACATTTTCATCTTTAAATCACTTCTTGGTCTGCTGCCTTCATACATCTCCTCCTACATGTCGTTGCATGAGTGCAGCTACAGAGTGCGCTCTGAGGACATTATTACCTGCAGTGTTCCCTGAGTGAGGACTGAACTAGGCAAAAGGACCTTCTCCTGCTCCGCTCCTGTTTCCTGGAATATCTTACAAAAAAATCTGAAGCTCTCGACCTTGACCTCTCTAAGTGGCTTTAAACATCTGTTAAGATCCTGGTAAGAACCAACGCATGTTCCTGTTTTTAGTTTTCTACATCTTCTTACCTAGCTGTTTTTTGTTACATTTTCTTTTAAATACCATTTTATTTTCACTTGTTATTCTCAATTTGTACGCATCCTTTATGACTGTCCACTGTTGTCATCACTCTTTGTTAAAATCAGGTCTCTCTTGCAAATGAGTACCCGAGGCTCAGTGGGATTAACCTGTATGAATAAATGTTGAATGAAAAGTGCCAGGAGGACTGTGATCAGTTACAAAATGTTTCATGAAAGAAGAATCCACCCAGAGGACCTGATTCAACCTTGTTACTTTTAAAAAACTTACATAAACATTTACAACGCTGTGAGTTATTAAACTTAAAGTTTAACGTAAAGTTAGTTTAAAACACAGAAGCTGAAAACAAAATACATTAAAACAGGTTTGTGACATTTTTACATGAGTTTAAACATATAATAATAATTTATTCCTCTCACCTGTGAGAGCTGCTCTGTGATTCGTGCAGCCAGACCCTGCAGGTCCACCGGGGTTCTGATCCCCCGGACCCTCGGGTTCACGTCTCTCAGGGAGCTCATCTCTTTCAGTCTGACGGCTGATCGGGTTCAGAAATACACCCAGCGGTCCTCTCAGGAGGCAGGCGTTAGAGGGTTGTTACGTAATAAAGTAAGGCTCAAAGTTAGTTATAACTCATGATGTCAGGTTTAGTTTAACCAGGTTCAATCAATTAGTAATTATAAAATGACAATTAATGAAAAGTTGCATCAGATCTTCACTTCATCCAAAAAAGTCGAGGACTAAAGCCTCAAAGTTAAAGTTTGAAATTAAGTTACTTGAAATCATGACTGATTCGAATCACATTTTTCTGCATGGCAGTCTGAATTTAACACAACAAACTTTGTTCGCTTCCACGTTCAGCTTGATCGTTAATGACGAGCTACGACTTTTATTGGTTGTACTTTTTGAAATAGCTTACTTTATCACAAATATTTAAAACCAGACACTATGGAAGCACAAGCCAGTGTATCGCTTGTGCTGGTCCCAAGGATGCTGATGAAGTACAGAGAAGGTCAGAAAGAACTGCATTGTGTCTTTAGAAAATGCATCTGACAGGGTGCCGAGGGAGGAGCTAGAGTGTTGCATGAGGAGTGGTGGAGAAGAATGTTAGACTGGTACAGAACATGTCTGAGGACAGCAGGACAGTGGTGAGATGTGCTGTAGGAGTGACATATAGCTTCAAGGTGGAGGTGGGAGTGCATCAAGGATCTGCTCTGAGCCCCTTCTTGTTTGCTCTGGTGATGGACCGACTAACAGATCAGGTCAAGCAGGAATCACCGTGGACTATGATGTTTGCAGATGACATTGTGATCTGTGGTGAGAACAGGGAACAACAGGTGGAAGAGAACTTGGAGAGGTGGAGGTATGCACTTGAAAGAAGAGGAATGAAAGTCAGCCTTAGTAAGACAGAGTCCATGTGTGTGAATGAGAGGGAGGAGGTGGAACAGTGAGGCTACAAGGAGCAGAGGTCACTAAGGTGCAGGACTTCAAGGACTGGGGGTCCACTGTCCATGCAGTAAACTATGGAGTGTGGTAAAGAGGTGAAGAAGAGAGTCCAGGCAGGATGGAGAAAAGTTTCAGAAGTGATTTGTGACAAAAGGGTGTCAGCAAAGGTCAAAGTAAAAGTTTACAAGACAGTGGTGAGACCAGCTATGTTGTATGGTCTGGAGACAGAGACATGGACATAAAGACAGGAGACAGAACTGGAAGTGACTGAAATGAAGATGTTGAGGTTCTCCTTAGAAGTGACAAGGATGGATAAGATTAGGAATGAGATCATCAGAGGTACAGCACAGGTTGAACAAACTGGGAGATAAAGTTAGAGAGGACACACTGAGATGGTTTGGACATGTCCAGAGGAGGGACAGTGGTTTGGACATGTCCAGAGGAGGGACAGTTGGTATATTGGTAGAAGGATGTTAGAAATGCAGCTGCCAAGAAAAAGACAAAGAGGAGATCTATGGATGCAGATAGAGAGGACATGGAGGTAGATGGAGATGAAGGATGACTCACTCACTGAAGAGGGAACAGCCGAAAGAAGATTGACTGATTCTCAAGGACTCTGCAAGCTTAAAACACCAAACCACTTTCCCCCGACAAAGGATGTTTAGGAGGGTGTTTAGATAAGAGTTCTGTGCTGCCATCATAATAGCAACTTCCCTGCCACACTTAGCCTCTCTCTCAGCTGAAGTCAGAGAGGAGATGTCCCCACCACCACCGTGAGTCACTCAGACACAAAGCCACCACTGATTACTCACTTCATGGTGGGATTTAAATGCAAAATAAAATAAATCATTGCACTAAAATAACTTTGTCTCTTCTGGGCCTGCAGGAGGAAGGTCAGAACTGAGGCGATAAATAAAAACATATTGACAGAAGTAGTTTCATTTGTCACTCTAAACACATTTAGGCTGTTTTACTCACCTTCTGTCTCTCCTTCAACATTTATTCTTTCTGGATAAGTACCGTATTTTCCAGCCTATAAGTTGCACCTTTTTGCCTAATTTGCATGCCCTGCGACTTATACACTGAAGCGACTTATTTATGCTTTTTTTCCCATATTTATAAACCAATTTTTGGCTGAGATATGATTGTTTTCATTCATTCTGACTGAAAATATTGAACACTACCATTTTCAGCCGCTAGAAGGCACTCGAGTAGTATGGCATGTCGTTGTGCCATGTAATCACAATCAGCTTGCCAAAGCCTGGCACCTTCGTCCAGCTCACCTGGAGCAACTGTCAAATCAGCATCATTTCACTGCGCCGCCCCGGCGAAATTCAGCCAATATGACCATTAAAGTGCATTTATTAAGTAAAAGTTCAACTGAGACACAACTTTACTATAAAGTTGAGCAAACAAATAATTGTTTTAGGTGCGTATCTTGATAAATTTCAAAGAAATGCACAGCGTTCCTCCTTCCCGATTTCTTCCCTCTGTGTGCTCCCGGAGCACCGAATACTTTTGAAATGCGACTGATTTGACCATCGAAGTGCATTTATTAAGGAAAAGTTAAACTGAGACACACCTTTACTATAATTTTGAGCAAACAATTGTTTTTAGGTGGTTATCTTGTTAAATTTCGAAGAAATGCACAGCGAGTCGTCCCTCTGCCGGCCCACACTTCCGGGTTGTCAGTGGTGCCGCGTAACAAACGTGACATGTAACCGGTGACGCATAATAGATGCGACCTATACGGTGAAGCGACTTGTATTTTCCCCACTTTATTAGACATATTCGTACTGATGTGACTTATACGGCAGTGCGATGTGTACGGTGGAAAAGACAGCCAGTAGGGAAGTTTATTTTTCTAAGATTATTGCTTTAATCGCCATCTTTATGTAAAATTAACATTCTTTAAATGAGTGAACACAGACAGGAGTACAAGAAAGAGCTTTATTAACTGGAAACTTGTACTGGGTTTGGACTGCAGCATAACAATACTGAACAAAAAGCACAGGCACAGAGAAAAAAGCACAACTTTAGTTAGATTTTCTACTCCACAAAGACTCTGAGACACAATGACTTTTGCATAGAGGTCCCTGGACAGTCCAGACAAAGAGAGACCGGGGGAACTTAAAGGGAGCTCCAGGTAAACACGATTAAATCTTCATGAAGTTACAGTAGCTCCAGTCCGAGACCGGTGTCAGTCTGTTTACTCTACTAAATCAGGATCTCCACCTGTGTGATAAATAAAGTTATATACAGGGTGAGAAATTACAGGGGAGGGTGGGCGACGTAGCTACAGCCGGGGAAGTCGGACGCGCAGCCATGTAAGGACCTAAACTGCTGTTTGCAGATCTGAGACCAGCTGAGCCACATCTGTTGATTAGACTCAGACGATGGAGGCTGATCTCGGTTAGTGCTCCAAGTCTTCCGCATTAGCCCTTATTTAAGGTGTGTGTGGGGGGGTGCCCTCTCTCTGAAGGTAGTCCAGATTAAAGTAGAGCCCTTAGACAATGTATTAGACCTTTTGGCGAGGGTTTGCTAGTTTGTGCTCTCCCAGGTGGAACAGGAAGTTCTGTGACAGCAGCGCCCCTCAACACCTGAGAGCAAAGTGACCCAGTCTTTAAATCCCTTCTTGATTAGTGGTCTGAGCACATTCTTCCTGCAGATTTCAGCAGGTCTCCCATGAACAGAAACACTTCCAGTTGTAGTGAAAAGCAGCCGTTTGAACGGTTACAAAGCTGAAGAAGAAAAGGCACGTTCAGGAGGTTTCCCTCTTCGCTACGAGCGCTCCGTTTGTCCGTCCAGTTATCAACGTGTCATCTACGTCTGAGGAACCTGAGTTTTCTCCCGTTTTTAATCCTTTTTTTTTTTCATAGTTTCTGGAACACATTAAGAGCAGACACAAACAACTTCTACTGTCAAACACAACTACAGTAACTCATTCTAGCATCGAGGTACTTTTCTGTAAAATGGATTCAAACTTTGTCTTGGCACAAAACAAGAGTGCCACATATGGCACATTACCGTATTTCTCAGACTATAAGGCGCACTTAAAATCTTTTTTTCTCAAAACTCGACTTAGTGAGCCTTAGGTATTAATTCTGGTTGTGCTTATTGACCTCAAACTGATTTTATGTGATTATTGTGAATGAGTTGACTTATCTGTTTTGTTTCGCTTAATGCGCCTTATAATCCGAAAAATACGGTATATGCCCATCGACAAATTGTAATACAGCAATCTATAGCAATGGCCCGGACAACCAAAGACCTTAATTTAACTTTGACCTTGATTTGTGACCTTGACCTTGAAGCTGGGGTGGTGACTTCTGTTTGCAGCATGCTTTAATAGGGGTAGGAACTTAAATATACTTGTAAACAATAATCTGTCATTTCTGTGTGGTGCTGTTTGTCCTAAAAGAGCTCCCATAGTTTCCTGTAGTAGAAGCATTGACGCTGTTTGTTTCCTCATATTTTCAAGTCTTCAAGACGTGTCCCTGTGCCATTTTTGTGTCTCAGGCTTTGTGTTTAACAGGTTTCTCTTGTAAACAAGTCCCTGAGGCTCAATACGAACTAACCTGTATAAATAAAGGTTGAATGAGTGCCTAACAACTGATGTGTTCTCTCCAGACAGCCGATTGGCTGGAAGGGGCTGAAAAGGATCAAGCTCCGCCTTCTTAACGAGCGAGGGAGGCCAGAGGAGACGTTGGTCCGATGGTTGCTGGCTTTAGTCTCCAGCCTCGCTCTCGCTCCTTCGTGGAAGCCACTTGTTGCACCTTGACACTAACTTGTGACTAAAGATGTCATAAGATGACTTTCGTTATGAATGGCTTTGAAATGTTTAGTTTGTGGATACACTTCCAGTGATAAATGATGCTAATTAGCCGTTTTATGCTAATGGTTGCTGTGCACATTTTATTAAGCATGAAAATATATAAATAAGTGCTTATGCAAAGTCATTTAGGTTTAAAATAGTTGAAAGGCAATATATAAATTGCATTGTGAGGTGCCTAAAATTTACTGCATTTGTTATGTTTCTGCCAAAATTGTTCACTAATAATTATTTGTTCCTCGTACGGTGAAAAGTTTGGTGGACAAACATTTAAACGGTGGTGGAAACTGTTAATTTTGTTTGTACCCGATGGTGAATTTGCCTTCAGTTCGCTCTTCTTGTGTTTCAGTTCTGATTGTTTATAGCTTATTAGTTGTTGTTTTTTAATCCATGAGATGTTTCTGTCACTGAAAAGCGCCGTTAATATCCTTCGTTTTTATCTGAGAAGGCGTCGCGCTGCGGCTCGTCACGCACAGTTTGCGTTGCGGTGTGTTAGCGCCCTCCGGTGGATGGGATGATTAGTTGCGCTTTGCTGCCACCTGCTGCCTCAGTTTCTCCCTCCTCTTCTTCTCCACCAACCTGAAGACGAGGGAAACTCTTAGGATTGCACGTTTGACGGATGAAATACAAGTTTTAGGTGTAAAATAATAAACACGACTTTCTTAATCAATCACAAAATGCATCATTTAGTGCCAGTTGTGGTGATAAATTTCAGCCATTTGCTATAAAGTAAACAACAGACATTACTGGATCAGATTGTAAAAATTAGATGGTTTTTTTACACAAACTGTGTATTTATAGTGCAGCTTAGTATTTCTGTGATCTGTTACCTGCGGTTGCGAGCCTCCACCATCTCGCTCAGCTGGTCCTGAGCGGCTCGGAGCTCCTCCAGACTCTGCTGGTAGCTCAGGTCCGCGGACCCCGACCTCTCCAGCAGAGAGACCCTAGAGGACAGCTCGCTGGTTCGATCCCGCAGCCGCTGGATGGACGTGTAAAGGTTCTCATCGTCTTCCTCCTGCAGCAGACACACAAGGTCAGAGTGGTTAAAAGGTACTCAGGGGCAGCACCTTGCACTTCAGCTACTGTAGCATGAAGGTAAAACACCCACTTCCAGCAGTTTTAACTATTTTAATTACAAAACCTGAAAGTAATAATTTGAGGCTAAGCCAACTGATGTCAACTTTACAAACTGGAGAGAAAACATCTGCAGCAGATGCTGATCTGATGCACTTCATACGTCAGTTTAAAACTAAAACGTAACGTTTATCGTCTTGTGATTGTATGAAAATCGATGTGCAGAGGGGACGTAAAAGGGTGACTACCTTCGCGTTGACGATCTCGATGTGAACCAAAAGCGAAGCCAACTCCAGCTCCTCGTTGTAGCTGTTCTTCAGAGGCACGCTCCTGTAGCCTGTCGTCATTTAGACGGAATTAACAATAATAAAAGATTAATAATAAAACAAGACGATCACAATTATTTTAGTCACTCTTGTAATAAGGGTTCTTCAAATTGTTCATCGAGTTTGGAAACATATTTATGTACGGTAAATGTAGTTTTCCTCAATCCCTCCTTGTTGAGGTTTTACCTGCAGTAACTGAATAAGTATTCATTAAAACGTAGGCTACAAGAATACATAATAAAGACAAATAACTACAGTAACAATGCAGTGCACTCCAACATATGGAAGGCTCTGGGGGTCATTTTCGACCAACGACAGCAGGACGGTTACTGTAATGTCCGGACTATAAGCTGCTACTGTTTTCACCCTCTTTGAACCCCGCGGTTTATACAAAGCTGCAGCTAATTTATGGATTTGTTTATTTTTTGACGGGCTAACGAGCTTCCTGTCGCCAAAACATTTAGCCTCGTCACACCCGGGCGCTCCCAATAAACATCTCTCTTGGGGGGTGGGTCCTTGTAGTGAGACTACTTGTATAAATAAAGGTAAAAAATATTCGACCGATGAAATTACAGATCACAGCTGAACAAATGAAACGGGGAGGGGAGGAGAGAACAGGGAGGGGGGGCATCACTCCTCCCCATGAGGGAGGACTCCCCTGCATGCGCAGAGCAGCTTTTGCTCCGCGGAGCAGGACAGCACAAGCTTGTGCAGGAGGAAGATGAAGACAGCGATCAATCACTTCCTGGTAGGATACTGTATTTATTTTTTTAACCAGCTGTGCTACCGGTGTTACACCATATTCTGTGACCACCGTATATTGTGACCGTAGGGGGCGCTGTTGCATTTTTACACCATACTTTGCAATATCTGATAAACGCTATCATATTATGTGACTGTCTACATTTCCATAATAGTCATGATATTAGTGATCAGATTTTACTTTTTATTCTTTGGAGGAAGGAGACTGTCAGCCTCCTTCCTCCAAAGAATAAAAATTAACATCTGCCCAACATCTGAGCATTATGGAAATATAGACGGTCACTCAATATGATAGTGTTTATCAGGTATTGCAAAGTATGATGTAAAAATGCAACAGCGCCCCCTACGGTCACAATATACGGTGGTCACAGAATATGGTGCAACACCGCAACTGTTCAGAATTTATTTTTTACTGTACGTATTTGTGTACTTTACCAGTACATGTTGTAGCATTCTGCTGTGGTTGACTGTCGGTCACATGGCCGCAGGGAGGGATTATGGGTAGAATTTATGTTCACGTTTCAGTTAGATGTTTAGCAATGTTCTTTTAGTGATGAGTCTGTTCTTGTGTTCATCGTGTGTTAGTTTGTGTTGGGTCATTCAGAGTGACCGTGAGTGAGGGAGGAAGTTGTCATGAAGACCCGTGGGGTTCTGTGTTGAACGGTAAGATAAAGTCTATAAAAAACGTCTGCTGGTTGATTCTTAATCTACAAGAGCTGCACATCTCTCTCAGAAGCTGTGCGCTGCCACGCCACACTATTTAATTAAATGTTTAAAAAAAATTCTGTGTAAATATCTCACGTTGCAACGTGGACACCTGCGGCTCTTAGACAAGTGCGGCCTATACATGTACAATTTATTTATTTATTTTTAATTAGGTGTGCATGGATAATATTCAGGTGCACTCAATAGTCCAGAAATTATGGTAATTATATTTTTTTGTAAATCCCCCTACATGAAGCTGTTTTCCAGCTGATGTTTCAAAGTCAGCTCACCCGTTCGCAGCAGACGGACCGGGTACGTTGCTTGTGCCAGGAAGTTGGGATCACTGAACATGTCCTCCTCGTAGATGACGAAGCGCAGGAAGGAGAAGGTGGGGTTGTGGACGTCGAACACAAACTGCTTCTGCACCCACACAGGATTCAGACCGTTATCAGCTGGGAGGGCCAGAAGGAGGAGAAACGTTAAGACGCAGCCGGAGGACCAAAAGCAGCTGAAGGTTCGCAGCGGCCGCCGGCTCACCTACGACGTCCGTCTTGCACTTGCAGTTGTCGTAATCGGCGCCACAGATTTCCACCTCCACGAAAGGACAAACGATGCTCCGGCCGTTCTTGGGCAGGTGGCGAGCCCCCAGCACCTGAAGAAGTCAGAAAATTAATTTTTTCTTTTGACCGTCGACCCCAGAACGACTGAAGACGCTCCGATTGATCTGACCTGCAGCTGGATGGTGATCGGCTCAACGCGCAGCGACTCCTTGTCAAAGGGGTCGAAGGTGTCGTCCCTCATGACGTCAGGCTGCGGGACGTAGCCGCTGCCGCCTCCGAGCAGAAACAAGGCCTGGTTCAGCTGCATGGGTTTATCTGCAAACAGAACGATTTGACGTGAACCTTCATCACCTTACGCTCCTGCAGCTTCTGTAAATAAAAAAAGCACCTGGAGTTTGGAAGTTGAGTGCGACCAGCTGGGAGCCGCAGAGCCACATGGGCAGCGGGTCGTAGTTGGACGAGTCCAGCCTCTGTCCACGGGGATAAACTCTGGACAGTTGCCGGCGGTTGTACTGCAGGAAGCGCTTCCCTCGAGCGCGGGTCGCAAACTTCTCCGCCTTCGTCTCCGGGAAAGAGGACATGTCCCGGTAGCAGGCGCGCTCCGTCCCGATCTCTGTAAACGCCAGATAGCTCGTAAAACGAAACGAGCGCCGACGGTTCAGCTACTCATTTTGAAGTCATGAAGTTTGGTTCTTACTGTCCTCGTTGAAGGGGACCGGCCTGCAGTAAACCACCAGATCAGACAACTCCACGGCGATCTTCTTTCTCCTCTCCATCTGTTTCTCCTCCTGCATCTGTTGCCATAGAAACCCATCAAACAGCTTCGTCTAAATGTAATCAACTTCTCACACGACATGAACCAATGATCTTGTAAAATCAAAGTACTTTTTATATTTCCATTCTAAGGAAACCTTTACGTCATCCACCTTTGTGTGCAGTTTGTGTTTATTTGCATCATAAAGAAAATACAAACAGTCTAAACTTGAAGTAAATTTACAGGAAACGTTTGCACTTGGGCCTAAAAAAAACGAGAAAGGAAAGGAAGGAGCAGAAATTTGTTTCCAAATCATATCCAACTGTTATTTTCAGTTTTTCAATATGTTTGGCTTTTCAGAAGTGGGATGAGCAGTCAGTGTCTTACCTGCAACAGATAGCAGTCGGAGCGCTCTCAGTGTGGAGAACTGGACAGTTTTATTTATTAAAGTCAGAACAGGACACATTTATGAGTGGATTTCTATCATCTAAGACAACTAGCTCAACCTCCCTCGCAGTCTGAGGAAACATAAAATATTTTTACGAGAGAAGAGCATTTTAAACAAAAATATTCTTCAAAATCATTTGGTAAACATTTTATTTTCTTCAAATACCTAGAAATCATTGCAATCTTTAATTTGTGTTGGTCCAATAGATCAATAAAGCAAAGCTGAGCTCACCCACAACCTTAATTTCCATTTTGTAACCCTTTCAAAATAAAACGTATGATTACAGAAAGACTGCAGATGCTCAGAGTTGTTTCTATCCTTTTTTTATTCTCTTTTTGGGGAGGTCGGGTGGATCTTTGGTGATTTGTTGAATAAAGCTCCAAAGCACCACCAGGTGCTGATGAAAAAAATAATTCCCATTAATTATTCGAAACTGACGATTTTAACTAAAAATAAAGAAATCACTGCTCATCCTTAAATTTGACGTCAGTTGTTTAAGTTGCAGTATGTTTTTTTTATTACAAATGTTTGTGTCGCTAAACTGTGTCTGTTTTATCATTTTAAACGCCCTAACCGACCATTTTTATTCTGTAAACTTTGTCTCACACAGACATTTTCCATACCCCTAGAAAAACAAACAACTAAAACCATGTCTACTCAGATATCCTGTCTTTAGTTTTGTGATTTAAACGACGAAACGTCTGTGCACAAACAAAAACATCAAAATGGCGACAGTGTGATTGTTTCTAAATGGTGAAAATTGCTTTTTACTTCTCTGAGCAGCTGTTAGCTTGATAAATCCTTAATGTTTCTTCAAAATAAGAGCGCTCTGACTGCAGGTAATGACTCACAACCCACAAGAAACAAACTACTACCGTATTTTTCAGCTTATAAGGCGCATTAAGCGAAACAAAACAGATAAATCCAACTTTATTCAACTCATTCACAATAACCACATAAAACCGGTTCGAGGTCAGTAAGCACAACCAGGTGCGTGACATTTTTACAGAAAAGTCTGAACAGATCAAACCTTCCATCAAGTCAAAATAAAGATTGTTTTTGTGAGTCAGTGTGTAAACGTGTGTGTGTGTGTGTGTGTGGTTCTGACCCGGGCGTCGGCGTTCTGCGCAGCCTCTCTGATTCTGCTGACCCAGCCTGTGAGATCCTCCAAACTGTCCGCCGCCACGTCCAGAGTCTGGACCGGGTGAGACGAGGCGGGCTGAGAGTGGATGGTGAAGACGAACGGCCGTGAGTTCTTCCCGTCTTTGTGCACCACTGAGGGAAGGGGGAGGGGGGGGGGGGGGGGGTAGAGCTTTACGTCTTTTTGCAACGTTTTAATTTTAAGTATGAAAAAAGAGACACATAAATGTGTAAAGTTTCATGTCGGTGTGTTTCTTCACCAACGTGGCAGGTGGGGACGTCGATGAAGCCCTTGAGCAAAGTCCCCAGAGGACTGTTTTCTGTTGACTGAAACAAAAACACTTTTTATTTATTATAACAGTTTTACGGAAGGTTAAAAACTACCCCCCGCCCGGTTTGAGCCGGTGCGCACCTCCTCGTCCAGTTCTCTGGTGGGGGAGCTGGGCACCTCCTCCACGTAGTTAGCAGGAAACCACAGCTGCTTCTTTCCTCCGTAGTCGCCTCGCCACCTGCACACAGACACAATTAATGGGGGGGGGTTACAGAGAAACATCTGCACGTGTCGGCACTCACCAGCCCCCCTCCTGTTTGTCCACGTTGGTGATGAGCGCTTGTTTGGGGAAACAAAGCTCGTCCTCCCTCTGAGCTCGGTAGTCGTACAAAGCTTTGACCGTGCACTGAAAACACAGCGAGAGACAAAGTGTCAGAACATCAAGTCAAACAAGCGGGAAATGATGGGGCCGGTTGGTTTACGGTACATATATATGACAACATAGCATGACATGGCAACCCAGTTTTTGAAAGGGACCTTTCTTATGGCTAGATGAAGACACACAGTAAAATAGAAGTCGGTGCTTCACTTATTGTTCACGTCATCATGCTCACAACATGAACAGGCGTTCCAACTCCTCTTCACTTCGTGACAAGGACAAAGATAAGAATTGTCCGAAGGTTCGTTTGTTGTTTTAAACACATTTAAGCTGTTTTTACTCCCTTTCTGTCTCTCCCACATGAACTCTCTCTGGCCAGTCACACACGATGTCGTACAGTAACAACTTTTATGACAGACAAAAGCTACTTCACTTACAGGGAGGTTCAATTTTATAAGATTATTGCTTTAATTGACATCTTTATAACAATATGGACAATTTTCATTCATTCAACCTTTATTTCTACAGGTTAATCCCATTGAGCCTCGAGGACTCATTTACAAGAGAGACCTGATTTTAACAAAGAGTGATGACAACAATGGACAATCATAAAAGAGGCATACAGATTATTATTATTTTACAAATTAAAATAAGATGGCAAAAAAAAAAAAAGTAGCAAAAAAACAGCTAGATTCTAAGGCGAATGTATAAAACTAAAAACAGGAACATGTCTGCATTAGTCCCTGCAGGACTCCAACAGATTCTTAAAGCCAGAGGTCAAAGGTCGAGAGCTTCAGATATTTTTGTAAGATATTCCAGGAAACAGGAGCGGAGTAGGAGAAGGCCCTTTTGTCTAGTTTAGTTCTCACTGAGGGGACACTGCAGGTAATGATGTCCTGAGAGCGCACGCTGTAGCTGCACTCACACAGAGACATGTAGGAGGAGATGTATGAAGGCAGCAGACCAAAAAGTGATTTAAAGATGAAAATGTACCAGTGAGAGAGTCTGCGTGAAGTTAATGGTGACCAGTTAACCAGTGGATACTGGGTGCAGTGGTGGGTACGATAATCACAGCCAGTTATGAATCTTAGCGCACCATGACAGACAGCGTCCAACATCTGCAGGGTTCTTGTAGGAGCAATAAACTCCTGATGCAGACTGAGGAAGTTTAATATCAGCCAACGTGGCGTTCTTTCACACTGTTCTTTTTGAGAATTTCTTCATTTTATAAGCCTGAAAATTATATACTTTTAAGGGCATTGGTTTGATTATCCTGAAGACTTTTGCCTCTTCCTCTCTGTTCCATCACAGGGTTGTTCAACAGAACTGCTCAGGGGGCCACAGTTACTGAGAGCCAGCAGCTCAGGGGACATCCCTCCAGACGGAAGTGGCCCGCGGGCCGCCAGTTGAATAGCCCTGCTCTATAACTAATGTCACAGCTGATAAGTGCTTAGTGTATTCTTAGTTCATATCTTAGACCTTATTACTGTTTTTCTTTACATTTAAACTTTTGTTGGATGTACCTGGGACCCTGTGTACACAATTTTGTTTGCACCACATAAGGCGATAAATACTGATAACTATTAGACAGATCACTTTAAAGTTAACTGGAGTATCTTTTTAGGTATACAGACAGTAGTCCCTTGTTGATACGGGGGATCCGTACCATGAAGACCCGCGATAAGTAAATAAAACCGTGAAGTAGAAATAGTTAATTTTATTATTTAAATATATAAATAAAGGCGTTTTAAACCCTTCTCACACTCTTGCAATATTCTAAACAATGTTTCTAAACAGCGAACGCTCTAAAAGAGCACCGAATGTCATGATTTCAGCTCCCTGCCTCCGCTGCTCTCAGCCACCTGCAAGCGCTCTTGGCCACGCCCACTTCTCCACTCCGCACAAAGAACAGCTGATCAGCTGCAGCAGGAAGTTTATCCTGCAGTATGGGCTGCACAAAACTGCAGGAGGTGCTAAATAATTTATTTTAAATAAAATGTTCATGCCGATCGTGCGGCTCATCCATCAATCAGCCAACTGTGTGTCACGTCCAATTTTATTTTGAAAAAACGTGATAGAGCGAGTCCACAACAAACGAACCGCGAAGTAGCGAGGGACTGCTGTATTTCAGTTTCCTATTGTCTCTAACTGCGGCTTCACATCTTCATTTTAGTTGTTTTAAATCTTTGAACACACAGCTGTACAGTCAACGCCTGGTTGACAACAATTCTTTTTAACTTTTATTTGTTCATTGAATTGTTTAGAAAAGCGTAAACAATCTGCTGAGTGTGTTCCCACGCTAACTCACCCGCGCTGTCGGCATCTTGTTGGCCTCCACGTAGAAGTGAGGGGTGCGGACTTCGTACAGCGCTCCGTAGTCCAGCTCCTGAGGAGACAAACGGACGTAAGGACAGTTTTCACAGACTCGTGTTTGTGCTGCTGCTGTTCCGCGTCTTGTTTTTGTACTGCTACTTAGTGTGTTCCTAGTTCATATCTTGGATCTTATTACTGCTTTTCAAGTTGAACTATTGTTGGATGTAACTGGGACAAATAAAGAAGCTTTAACTTTCATCTCCATGAAAGCTTAAGGAGCAGCCTCTGACTCACCGTGGTGCCCATCCGGTCCAGAGTGTCTTCATTAATCGGGTATCGGAGCTTCATCTTACGGTACAGAGGATGCTTCTCGTAGTAGCTCACCAGGTCCACCAGACTCTCGAACTCCGCCGAACTTCCCAACATGAAGAGACGACCCTCCTGCTGGATGCGGCAGTGTTTGATCTTGCCCTCCGCCCTGCGAGCCGACGGATGACGACAACAAACAACGATTCAACTGCTGGCGACTCGCGGGACCGAAGCGTGAAACCGCGACGGGTCCGGGCTCGGCTCTACCTGAAGGAGATGGCGTAGGAGTTGTGCTCGCTGCGTTTCCGCACCAGGAAGGCTCCGTCTCTGGGAACACGCATCAGCATGTGTTCGGCCTGAACGCGGGACAGATTGGAGTGGTACCACCTGGAAAACAGGACCCTCAGTCAGCAGGTTGGTTCGGAACGGTCGTCGCTTGGAGAGCGAACCGGAGGAGACGGAGAAGATTCTGAGGGGGTCAGAATCTCACTCTCTGCTCTCGTGCGCGTTGGGTTGCGGCACCGGGTTCCCGAGCCTCATCTCGAACTCGTTGCAGCGCAGCGGCATCTCTCTGTAGTGGCAGATGAGCCGGTAGAGGCTCTCGAACACCAGGTTGTCTGTCAGGTAGAAGTGGGTGGAGCCCGAGTCCTGACGGGAGTGGATCCTGCAGTGCTGGACCCGACCAGAGCGCCTGAAGGTGGCACAGGAGGATTTAACCCGGTGACGTGTCGACTGGCATCGTTACACTAAATTAGACTTTTGGCATTTTTAAAACTCTCGTTTAAAGAGAATTTGTACTTTAGCCGCCAAATCTTTCAGTTGTTTATCAGACTGGGAACAAAAGGTGTAAGAAAACTCACTGACCAGAAGGAGAGGGTGTAGTCTCCGACAAACGTCTCGCTCTCCCGCACCAGAAAGGTGCCGTCTTTGCCCCCGCCCTCGCAGTACTCCTGCAGGAGCTTCTCCGCCACCTGCCGCCCATCCCGACCCCCACCCAGCTTCCCGTGGAACCAGTGCTCCGCGCAGTGCTGCTCGTTGTTGTTGCACTCCTGGCAGACCGGCGAAGAAGAGTTAGATCATTAAAACAGCTCGTGTGACTCGAGGTCGGCGTCATCTCTACCGTTTTCCCTTCGTCGTCCTCCTCTTCGTCAGTCGTCTGGTAGCGAGACGTCTCCTCTGAGTAATAAATCTTATTGCTGGTTAAGACGAAATAATGCGGCGTCCATGTCTGTAAAAAAATAAAAAAATACACATTTTAGCAATGATCAGTTTGGGATGTGGAACAACAGGAATGCTACAAAAAAAAGTAATAAATCTGTAAAAGAACAAAAAAAGTAAGAAAGATATTGACAAACTTGTTTTATATTCATCAAATTCTGTCAGGACCAACATTTGGGATTGGTACCTTGCTATTTAAATTATATATATATATTTTTTAATACATCGTATTTTCCGCCGTTGCACGTTGCTGCTGCTACAAGAGCGCGGCCCCTTATTCTTGATCAGAATACTTTTAGGTAGAAAAAGGTAAGAGCCATGAGCATGGATAGTGGTATTACAAAAAAGATCTTTCACATCTTGTCCTATCAGGACACGATGTAAGACATCAAAAAGCTCGACCAACACTCACATTTATAAACACGTTACATGCATTTGACGTCAAGACGGTGAGATTTGTCCATGAGCACTTTCAGATAGGCCATAGTCCTGATAAGATGTTGTTCACTTTGAGGGTCAAATCAGCTGCCTTTCAAAAGCCGATACGTGTAAGCACGTGCACGGGAGGACTTACTGTGCATTACTTCAAAATTTAACAAGATAAGCACCTAAAACAAGTATTTGTTTGCTCGAAATTATAGTAAAGGTGTGTCTGAGTTTCAGTCGCAGGGCATGTAAATTATGAAAAAAACTGTGCCTCATAGGCCGTAAAATACGGTATATACACATTTTATTAAAGAAAAACCTGTAATATTGTAATCATCATGTCCTCGGTCACCTGCCACGTCCACTTACCCCCAGCTCATCAGCGCTCATGCACCGCACCTGTTCCTCGCCCTATTGAAGTACCCTACTAACCTCTGCCAGATTATTGTACCAATCTTGGTTTCTGATATCCAGCCATCTTGTTCATTGTTCACGCCTTGTTCTTTGGATTTTGACCTCACGCCTCGTCTTGTGGATTCACCGTTCTGCCTGCTCCTCATCTGGTGTTGTCCTGCCCATCTGACCCTGGTAACGACTACTCTTTCTGGCCTAAGGATTCTGGATTACGGTTTGACATTTGGATTTATTCTTGGACCTCTGACTCCCTGTGCTTGACCTCTGCTTCGTCTCTCAGACCCCACTTTTGGATTGCCCCACTGACCACATTAATCACAAGGCTCCTCCACAGCTGCCCTTCTACTAGTGACGGTGACTTCACCTCACCCTGCTCTGACAGGTGCCTCCCACCTTGTCTCCCTGAGAAGACTGGTCCCAGTACTGGATCCTGACTCCCACCAGCAGCTGCAAATCAATAAATTTATTTTTCTTGTTGTCTGGCTGTATTCTGGATCTAAAAACCTCATCCTTGACAAATATTTGTACTTTTGAGCCTAAGTAGTGAGTATTATTACAGCATACTCACTGCATTGTAGCATGATAAATACATTTTTCATTATTTCTGTCCTCTCCTTTTCTCTGGACCATCAGGGTTAAGACCCCACCCCCACGAGCTCTGAGCCTATCAGATTTGAGCATTAGTTTCTCCTAAGAGGTGGAACATCTCACGTGGTCGATGGGGTCCTCGAGGTACAGGATGCCGTTCTTCAGCGAGTTGCTGATGTCGTTCTCAGAGTAGCTGGCGGACGTCACCTCTTCGTACACGGTTCCTTCCACCAGCTTCTTGTGCTGCGACGCGACAACAAAAACACGAGACTAGAGTCAAAATCACTGATCTGAGAGCAGTTTATTTACAGGCTTCGGCGTCCAATCAACATCAAACGCTTCACCTTGATGAGGATCTTCCTGCGCAGCTGGTAGGGTGAAGGAAGCTCGTCGGCGTTGTTGTCCACCGGCTTGGTGAGCAGCAGATCTCCAAACACCTTCTTAAAGTGTGTGGCCATGTTCCTCTGCTGGACCACGCTGCAGTGGTCCTCGATGGACAAGATCACAGGATACCTGAGCAGGTAAAGCTCGTGAGAGCTGGAAAAGGTCACGCTCGGTCCTTTTTCAAACTATTAATGGAAATATTGAACTTACTCAGACGTGACGAAGGCGTGCTCTTTGATGGTGTTCAGCACATCCAGGAATTTGATCTTGGAGGTTAAAGTGTGGCCGTGGTAGATGATTGGCAGGTCGTCAGGTCCGTCCCAGCAGTCCACTGGGACCCAAAAAACACAGAGTCAAACCAGTTTCTGTGGTTTTATATACCTCTAACCAGTCGTGGAGCTACAGCTTCAATAAACCACGCCGTCTACGAATTTAGATAAAACTTTTAACCAGTCCGTTTCTTACGTTCGATGCAGCGGCAGCCCGTCCTGAGACATCGGGCGTAGGCTTCTAGAGACGATTCACTGGAAAACTGGTCACCTGTCAGGTAACTGGAAGGACGGGGGAGGAAACGTTAAAGCAGTCAGGTAGAGGAACCGATCAGCAGCTGTTGTTGTTTAGGAAAAAAGAATAAAAACAACATTTTCTACTAAATGGATTCATTTTTCTCACAGGTCCTCAGAAGGCTGCAGGAAGGCAAAAGAGTTTCAGCAACAAACAGATGTTTTCCATCAAGTTTTACTTTCCTGTCCAGAAGATGTTGGAACGGTCGGGACCTGGAAACGAGTTTATGTACTGAAAGACTCGGGTCTCGTCCCCAAACAGGGTTTAAATTAGGCCAGGAGTAGACCCGAATCACAATAGACCACCTAATAAAAGTATTTTTATTCAGAAACAGGTTTTGTTTTAGTGATTTTAGTGTTTCTAAAAGTTTGTGTGAACGCTTACTAAGCATTCACTCTATTGTGATCCGTTTTTCTTACGTACGTTTTTTTTTACGTGATTCTCGTCCCGCAGTTTTCATCTATTTCAACAAATCATAAATCAAAACGTTCAGCTCTTTCAGGACAATCCTGCTGTGACTTTTGGTATTGGTGCAACTTTAGCTTTTTGAAATATTTAGCCTTTCCTGCCATTTTTGTCTCATAGAAAATGAATTGAGCTCATTTTACTTCCTTCAAATATTTAGATGTGTTTACAACATTTTACTGCTCCTTTCACATTTTGTTCTGCTTCAAGCTTCTTTCAGCTTCTTGCTGCAAAGTTAAACTTTTTCACCTACTTTCAGCTCTTTTGTGCTCCTTTCAGGATCTTTCTAACTACTTTTTTTTGCTTCTAACTTCTTTCTACTAATTTCAGCTTGTTATGTTCCTTTCAGCTTATTTATGCAAGTTTCAGCTTTTTCAGCCATTTCAGCTATTTAGTGCTTTTTATGTTAATTTTAGCATTTTCAGTTAATTCCACTTTTTTTTTTTTAGCTCATTTGAGCTCATTCTGGTAGTTTAAGCTTCTTTCAGTCTTTTCAGCTAATTTTCAGCTAATTTCTTGCTAATTTCAGCTTTTTTTTTTTTTTTGCTAACTTCCTATTTTTTGTGCTCATTCCTGCTCATTAAAAACCTAAAAACTTAAAAAATAAAATAAAATTCAGCAAATGTGTTCTTTCTGCACTCCTGCTAATTTGGGCTTGCTCTTCCATTTCAGCATGTGTGTTAAGCTAATTTCAGTTGTTTTTCAGCAAGTTATATGTCATCATTGTATGTTGCCATGCAATGGCGAAATTAGTTCGCTGCATTTAACCCATCACACCTGGGATGCACCCAGGTGGGAATGGTTGGGGATCGAACCTGAGACTTTCGGCTGACCTGCCTCTACCCCATCTCGACCCCTTGGCTGAGTTCTAAGCATTCACACTGCATGTTCACAGGAAATGTAACTTCTCTGGTATTTTTATTATATTTAGGGCTGATTTATTAACGTTTCACTACTTGCTGCACAGACTTGGGTCAACGGCAGCTCTTTAAATGTGCTTTCTAACAACAACAACAAAAAACTACACTCCTCAAGTCTATCCATCCAATCTATCCATCCATCCATCCATCCAATCCATCCATCCATCTATCCAATCCATCCATCCATCCATCCATCCAATCATCCATCCATCTATCCAATCCATCCATCCATCCATCCAATCATCCATCCATCCATACATCCATCCAATCATCCATCCATCCATCCATCCATCCAATCCATCCATCCATCCATCCAATCCATCCATCCATCCATCCATCCATCCAATCTATCCAGCCAGCCATCCATCCATCCATCCATCCATCCATCCAATCCATCCATCCAATCCATCCATCCAATCCATCCATCCATCCATCCATCCAATCCATCCATCCATCCATCCAATCCATCCATCCATCCATCCATCCATCCATCCATCTAATCCATCCATCCATCCATCCATCAATCCATGGTCTGCAGCTTATGTATAATCTTATCGTGGAGGCAGCAAATCCAGGACAGAAACTCAGAGACTCTCCTGCTCCTCCTGGAGGAGCCTGAGGTGCTCCCAGACCAGAGAGGATCTACAATCCCTCCAGAGAGTTCCAGAGTCTCTTCCCACGGAGACATATCCAAAAACCTCCAGAGGGAGGTGTCCAGGAGTCATCCTGATCAGATGCCTGAACCACCTCAGCTGACTCCTTTCAATACAGAGGAGCATCAAACTGGCCCCGGATGAAGGAGCTCCTCACCCCATGTGGTCACGATCCAAACCCCATGACCACACGTGAGGGTTGGAACGTAGACCGTAAATCCAGAGCTTTGCCTTTCAACTCAACTCTTTCTTCACAACAACTGACCGGAGCAATGCTGTTATTACTGCAGACTTGACCCTGATCCATTACTATCACTCATGGTAAAGACTCCCACATGAACTCATCCACAACTTGGTGGAAGCATCCCCCTTTTCCCAGATATATTGATATGCAGTTTGTAAAATGCGGGTCCACGCTCAACGTAAACAACAGACTCGTCTGAAGCTGCCAAAAACCAAGTGGAGCCACCAGCTTCCCCGACAGTAGACTGGAAGAAGTTTGTGCAGGTAAACAACTACAGGTACGTCTCAATAATTAGAATGTTGTGGAAAAAAATCAATATTTTTTTGTCAATCACTTCAGAAAGTGAAGTTTCCAAATGAAATGAAAAATATACTTTAATCTGAAAGGAGGACGTTGGACCATTGCACAACAGTCCAGTTATTGTCTCCTCAGCAGGTAAGACGCTTCTGATGTCTCTGGTTCACACTTTACGCATCACCAAGAGGAAAACTATGTTCAGGTTATTTTTGTCTGGTCTTCATCACTTTGACCACCTCCAGGTTTAAGGCCAGTTTTTGTTTGGGGGAACCCGACACTCTCAGACTCACGTGTTGTGTGAGGAGGAGATCCAGTACTGGGACAGCGGGCGCTTCATGTCTTCAGGAACGACGGGCGAAAACCGCGGGTCCGACACCGAGTTCTCCTTGGAGAACAGGAAGGTCAGGAACTGGAACAAACAAACGAGCGTGAGGCGGAGAACATTGTCCAACGTGCTTTTAGATGTTTTTTTACTCTCGGTGGACACCTCGTCCAGCTGGAGCATCATCTCAGGCTGCGGCCCCCCCTTCATGTAGCCCATCAGAAACTCTCGGACCCGACTCAGATCTGACGCCCAGGACTCCTGGGACCAGCCGGAGGAAGGGACGTGAGCACAAACAAGCTTCAGGCTGAACTTTCTGAAAAAAATATTTTTTTGTACCTTCTGGTCCATCTGCAGGAACTTCTGGAAGTCGTAGAAGGTGATCTGACAGAGCTCCGGTCGGTCTACGTTCCTGAAAACACAAAGAAATAAAAACGGTAAATCTCAGAGGAGGAAGAGCAGACGACGCATCCCACACCTGTCGGCTACTACACAACCATCGACAAGAACGGTCAAACTATCGAGCTGAAAATCTAAAACTGAGGGGGACGTGAGGGCGGAGGGTTCTGAGGAGCAGGAGGTGAAGGTGGAGGGACTCACCGCAGGGGAAAGGAGAGCTCCAGCTGCTCAATAATCTGAGGAAAGAAAGGGGAGGAGCCAGGTGATGGACAGGTGAGAAGGAAGGGGCGGGGGAAGTGAAGCATGAACAGGCGGACATGTTGAGCGAAGTGGAAATTATCGTGTGAAAAAAACAAACTTCAAATGAACTCGAGGACGGAGTGACAGTTGACGTCTCCGATCAGAGACACGTGAGACTCACGCTCCTCTGCGAGTCGAACATCAGCGTCCTGTAGAGCTGGGAGAAGTTGGGGTACGACAGCTCGCTCCTCGCCTCCACCTCCTGCGGAGACGCACGTTAGTCTGACCCGAGCCGTCGCAGGAGGAGCTTGAACAGAAAGCATCCTACCTGCAGCTTGTCTTTTAGAAAGCGCGTGTTGGGGACTCGGTAGTTGATCTGAGGAAGAAGAGCTTTGACGTCCTTCAGAGTGATGCTGACGAGGAAAACAGGAAGCAGAAAATAAAATCTTCTGTGTGAAACTTTTCCAAACACTTGACTTAAAACAACAAAAACGTGTTTTGTAAGATTTAATCTCAGTTTTTCAGGCTACGTTTCTAAAAACTCCAGAATATTCCTGCAGAAGTCGTCTTTTCTGCACTTTTTATTCTGTGATTTAACTGAACAGAGAACCAGGAAGGAAGTCAGTGGAGAGAGAGCTCAGATCCTCCTGGGGTCACTGACCCCCGCTCCGTCCGACTACTGTTACTATTTCCACAGGAGACAGGAAGCTGCCCCCTCCCTGTCCCCTGCATCACTTCCTGCTCCTTATCGAGCGGCGGCAGGCTGACTGTCCCGGCGAGGCCGAGCCACTCACCTGCCCTCGTGGCTCCGGTCCACGACTTCAAACTGTTTCCTCAACCACCTGCAGGGGGACAGGAAGAGGACGTCAGCGTGGGACACGTGTTCGATGAACGCTTGTTTCTAAGAAACGTAAACTAAATCTGCGTCAAATTTCCAGAGCGTTTGGGAAAAAAAAAACTAATTGTTAGAGAATTTTGCAGAAACCTGGTCGGGTTTTTACTTGGACTCACACTGAGCTGAAATGAGTGCATATGTAACTACAGTAGTCCCTCGCTACTTCACGATTCGTTTATCGCGGACTCGCTCTATCACGGTTTTTCTAAATAAGATTGGACACGACGCACATGATGGATGAGCCGCACGATCGGCATGGACTTTTTATTTAAAATACATTATTTTAAATGATTTAGCACCTGCTGCGACTTTGTGCAGCCCACACTGCAGGATAAACTTCCTGCTGCAGCTGATCAGCTGTTCTCCGTGCAGAGCGGAGAAGTGGGTGTGGCCAAGAGCGCCTGCAGGCAGGGAGCTGAAATCATGACATAATGTTCTCTTTAGAGCGTTTAGAGTTTAGACGCATTGTTTAGAATATTGCAAGAGTGTGGGAAGGATTAAAAACACCTTAATAAATATACATTTAAATAATAAAATAAACTACTACTTACTACTTGTACTACTTACAGTACTATTCCTACTTCGAGGTTTTTCACTTATCGCGGGGCTTCATGGTGCGGATCCCCCGCGATAAACGAGGAACTACTGTACAACTAAGTTGCAACATTAAACACAAAGGGTCTGAGTTATGTCACAATTTTCTCTTATTTTTGTCATTTTTAAAATCTTCCCAAGCAAAAAAAAAAAAAAAAAAAAAGTTGCAGCTGTGTGAGACAGAGGCTTAAATCTTGTTTTGTTTCTCCAATTTAACACCTGAAGTTGTTTAATTCCCATAAATAGTTTATCTTAGAGATTTTTAACAAATCATCAGTGTGAACTACAAACTACAAAGATGCAACAAAATATACATAAACATTGGAAAGACACTGTTTACCGTATTTTTTGGACTATAAGGCGCATTAAGCGAAACAGTCAGATAAGTCTAACTTTATTCAACACCTTCACAATAACCACATAAAATCGGTTTGAATTAATACATAAGACTATGCCTGTAACGATACCAAATTATTCTGGGCTATTAATTGTCTCAGAAATTATTGCGATATACGATAATATTGTTTGAAATTTAACAATAATTAATGGTCAAATTTTAGAAGAAACATAGATTTGTTTGGTTGCAGCACCGTTTTTGACCACCTGATGGCAGTATAAGACTGTTTGAACCAAAGGATGGATAGTTGAGCAGGTGTCATTTAAGAAAATGGGAGGGAGTGACATGGTGACAGTGTTGCCAGGTGTACGATAATTATCATATTTATACGACAATTTTGCCCTCTGTACGATCAGTAATCCCAAAAAAGATCAAATATACGATAATTTGACCATTCCGTGAATGTGTGGTTGTCATCAGCCTGTCGCAACTGTCTGTTGGAGTTTTTTTTTGTGAACCCTGAAGGCATCTGTGTCTGGAAACAGATGCATGTGCTTTTCTACATGTGACCTACTAGTGACGTGTATGCGTTTGCCTCAGAACAACGGCCATGATTGGCTGAATAGTTTGCTGCGCCCACCCCATGAGTGAGGAAAAGAAAAGAAGAAGCAGCAGAGCCGGTTTGGAAGAAGAAGCGATGAAAAAGAGTGAACAAATGGAAGGGGGCTCATTAGTTCCCACCTGTCATTGTTTATGGAGGACACATTAGCGTAACGCAACTGTGGGGCTGCTGATGAATCCATTCCGTACTGACGCCACGAAGCTGCGAGTGCCTGTTAGACGCTATTCAACACTAGAGTGACTATAACGCATCAATAGACTTGTTACTTTGGTTATGACGGATGCACGATAATTTCCCTCAAAATACGATAATTGTATGTCTCTAGTACGATAATCCTACATTTCTCACCTGGCAACACTGCATGGTGACATGGCGGACGCTCGGTGTGGTTTGAGCTCTTTAGCATTTTCCACACAAAGCTTTTGATATAAAAAAAAAAATCAGTAAACAAGTTCTCAGCTTCTGTTTCCAGAGGAAAAACAACTTTTTACACAAAGGCACGGGTTTCAACCGTGAATTTTGGAGCTTCGACAAGACGGAGATTTATTCCCGAGGGCGGCCTGTTAGCTTAGCTCGTAGCTTAGCTTCTCTGCTTAGCTGCTTTTAACGATCCAAAAACGTGATTTTGGACGATTAAAACGGATTTTAAAGAGAATGAGAAAGGGAGGGGTCAGTGAAGAACACCGGAGTTGAACCTTTTGTCATCCAGTGTCTTCAGTGGAAAGAGACACGAAGAAACGATAAAGCTGATAAATGAAAATGAGGGCGATAATTTTCATTTATTAAGCGATTAATTGATTTATTGTTTATCGCGACAGGCCTACATAAGACGCACCTGACAATAGGGCTTACTGTCGATTTTTGAGAAAATTTAAGGATTTTTAGTGCGCCTTATAGTCCGAACAATACGGTAATTACACGATTTCACACAAACGGGCTTAAAGCTTCATTTATATTTAGTTTCCATTAAATAAAAGCAGCTTGACTTGGAGCTTGATCATTTGATTAGAACCGTCTTTCCTTTAAACAATCAGAAAAAAAAACATGCCGTCGAGCCGATGAGTCTCTCCTCAAACAGGTTGAACGACTTCATGAACGGACAGAATGAGCGACTTTCATTTCCACGCTGTGTCTACAACCCGTCTGTCTCCTCCACAGCCTCGCTGTGTTTTTCTGCTTCCACCCAGAAGCCAAAAGCCGCCTCCGCTCGTTCATCTGCAGCAAACATTTTTTATCCCAGAACAAATATTTGTCCTCCTCTGAGTCCACATCCAGGTCGGCTGCAGCCAGACGGCCCTCAGACTCTGCCTGTGGGCTTTATTAAACCTTGCATTAATAATTCAACTACGATGATGACGATGTGATCACACAGAACGCCCCGAGGATGATCTGCTCTGGGAATAAACGGGAACCGACCTGTCGATCTGCTGAGGAGCCGGCGCTCTCTGGGTGTCCGCCATGAGCCAGGTGAGCCCGGCGAGCCACATGTTGACCTCCTCCTTGCTGAAGGCTTCAGTCACACAAACAGGCAGAAAAAGAACACACAATTACGGGTTTCTGTCCATTTGTGTTCCAGTCGTTACACTTCCCCCAATAAACTATCTTTACATTTTTAAAACGGATTGTCACAGATGAATACAGATGCTGTTATACTAAATTTAATATGTATATTTTTAAAGTTTGACGGCAGCACGACGGCTCAGTGGTTAGCACCGTTGCCTCACAGCAAGAAGGTCCTGCGTTCAATCCCCGGTTGGACCTGGGGTCTTTCTGTGTGGAGTGTGCATGTTGTTCTCGTGCATGCGTGGGTTTTCTCTGGGTACTCCGGTTTCCTCCACAGAACAAACACATGCACGTTAGGCTGATTCAGGCCTCCCTTGCACAAGAGCTCTGTGATCTGATTGGGATTTGCCGGATTAAATACAGATAAATAAATAAATAAATAATAACGATGAGTTCATGCTCACAATCAGAAAACAAAACAAATAAATCTGGATTAAGAGGTGCAGCTGAGTCAGGAATCGTTTGCTCTGACAAGATGGGAAAATCTCCCCACTGACAACAATGGGAGTTTGCTGGAACAAGAAATCCAGCGTGGAGGTTCAAACGGGTCAAAGAAAGATGGACTTTACGTGACTGAACCGCCATTTTGACATCTTTAACGGTTTTTGAGTTGTATTAAAAATGTTGGCAAACAAACTGTTCTGTCCTCAACATAACGTGCAGTTGAACAGTTGTAGGTATTTTTGTCTTCCTCCACCCAGTGTGTCTCTCACTGCTGCAGGACTGGTGGACTTCTCTCCAGACTGAGCAAACCCAAACTCCCATTGACTTCCACTGTATCTGAGTCAGACACAACGGAGCAACACAAACTGGAAGGGACGAGTCTAACTTGTAATACTTCCTACATAAAATACCACAGAAGCAAACATCTAAAGTAGCAACAGGCTAACTACAAGCTAAAAGTAGCATTATTGTGTCTAGAACAGGGGTCTGCAACCAGTACGATCAAAAGAGCCATTTTTACACCTTCATGCACTAAATTCAAGTGTTCAGAGCCTCAGCAACCTGCTACAACTGGGATTATCAACTGGTGGCCCATGGGCCACTTTAAGTTTGTTGGATTTGTGGCACGGCTCCAGCTGCTCCCAGTTGTAGAAAACCACCCCGTTGTTATGGTTACGCATCATAACAAATGTCCAAAAGTAAAAAAAGGTTTCAGTAAAAATCCTGCCAGCAGCACAGCATCTGATACAAGAGGAAGTAATCATCCGAAAAAAGCAATTTGCATCAAAAGCTCAAATCTCAACTACAGTCCCAAATGAGTTGAAAAGAAGGTGCTGTGGATGCATTCCCGTCTACCAGGAGGCAGTGCTTGAGTGCCTGACTGCAGAGATCTTGGAGGTAGCGGGAAATGCAGCTTGTGACAGCGGGAGGACCAAGATCATCCCCCGGCACCTGCAGTTAAGTCTGTGGCAATAAGGGGCTTGGCAGGCTGCTGAGAGAAATGGCCATCGCTCAGGGAGAAGTTCTGCCCGACATTCAGGCAGTCCTGCTGCCCAAGAGGACCGAGAGGTCTGCTGGGTCTGGGTGGACAGATTGACATCTGTAGCCAGTTTCTTCGGATTCGCTGTGGGACGGACTACTACAAGAGATCCTTCCTGCCCAAAGACATCAGCATCTAGAACAACTCTAATGAAACCAAGATGAGCTACAACAGCAATTAATTTCCCTTTGGGATTAATCAAGTATATTTGAATTTGAATTTGAAGTCTTATTTATCTGACAGAACATTCTCTGTCTTGCTCAATGGCTCCTCTTCCTCTACAGCCCCACTTCTGCATGGGGTGCCCCAGGGTTCCATTTTGAGCCCTCTTCTCTTTTCCTTGTACATGTTGCCACTTGGATCTATTATAAGACAACACAATGTCAACTTTCATTTTTTTGCAGACGAATTGCAAATCTGTTTACCATTAAGGCCAGGATCCAGTAACCCAAAGCCTTCTCTCTTTGTTTGCATCTCTGCAATCAAACATTGGCTGAACAAGAACTTCATGTTTTTAAATGACAATAAAACAGAATGGATTTTATTTGGTGACAAAGATGCAAGTGACCTTGGAAATTTGAATATTAACTTCAGTGACAGTGTAAAAAACCTTGCAGTGACCTTTGATAAGGCTTTAAACTTTGACAAACATATCACCACTGTAGTCCGGTCTGGATTTTTTTATTTACGCCTTTTAAAAAAGGTCAAACACGGGACCACATCACACCTGCTTTACTCTCACTACATTGGCTTCCTGTCCGTTTTAGAATAGATTTTAAACTTTTGTCAGATTACTGAACTTGGCCCTTTTAAATCGAAGCTTAAGACTTTTTTATTCCAACATGCTTTTAGTATTTAAATATGTGGTGACATTTCTGGTTCTCTTTATGTTATTTTATTGTGGGTTTTTTTTCTTGCTTTTAACTTGTTGTCATTTTAATTACTGTTTTAGTTAAGCACTTTGGTCACCATCACCGTGGTTGTGTAAAGCGCTATAGAAATAAATAAATTAAATGAAATAAAGAGACTTTTGTGGTCAGTGGTGGTGATATTATAAAGATAAAAATAACTAATAATTTTTAACATTTATTGACGTTTTTAAAATTTAAGACAAATTAAAAACACAGATTCTTGTAAGGGGATGGGGAAGGTTTTTTTTTTAATAAAACAAACACCTATGAACTACGCAGAATTTTTTTTTTTAAATTGTGGAAAAAATTATTAAGTATAGAAATAAAGCAAAAAGTTAAATTGAGTATTTGCTAAATAAATGACAGGAAAACAGTTAAAGCTGGTACTTTTTTGTTGTTTGTATAACCAATAAAATTCAGTTTTATGTTTGTTCTGGTTGAAGCTTGGAAGAGCCGCTGCCGAGGGGTTAAAGAGCCGCATGTGGCTCCAGAGCCGCAGGTTGTAGACCCCTGATCTAGAACTAAGAGAGAAACAGAGTTTGGTGCTAAAGCAGAACGTTTTGAAAGAAATGAAGGGATCTCCGTGCATTAGGAGGAAATCCATCCATTATCTTTTACCCACTTCTTCCTTTTGGGTCGTGGGGGTCACTGGTGCTCATGTCCAGCAGTCACTGTGCGAGAGGCGGGGGACACCCTGGACATGTCTCCAGTCCATCACAGGGACACATAGAGACAAACCATTCACTCTCTCGCCTAGAGACAATGTAGTTACCAGTCAGTCTAACATGCATGTTTTTGGTCTGTGGGAGGAAACCGGAGTACCCGCAGAAAACCCACGCATGCACGGAGAGAACATGCAAACTCCACCCAGAGGCCCCCGGCCGGGATTTGAACCAGGGTGACCTGCTCGCCGAGAGGCAGCAGCTCTATCATCTGCGCCACCGTGCCGCCCTTAATGGGGAAATATTTGTAAATCAAGTTAAATATTGTGAAAAGTTTAAACGTCACAAAGACCAAACGTCGCAGCACACATCTCCTGAATGAGCCGAGCGTTTTGTGTGAAGAATGGAACAAAATTTATTATAAATGTTCTCTGAAAATGTGCTACGGTCTGACCTGCAACACTGAGGGTCCGGAGGCGGAACTCCAGGCCGTACAGCACGATGAAGCAGTGGGCCGGGTCCAGTTTACGAGCCTCCTCCGGGAAACGCTCAAAGTCACGGGAGCCCTTCCCCAACCGCAGCTCCCGGATCTCCTGAATGTCAACTAGAGGGGGGGGGGGGGGGGGGGGGAGGAAGGAAGGATAGAGTTGCATGAACACAAATATGCACAAGCATAAATCACACTTGGGCCCGTTGTTCGTTTCTGTGCCAAACACGCAGAAATGTGCCGCTGCAGGGCTGAAGGAACGCTCGCTGTGGGCCAGGAGAGCAGAAAACACAGAAACGTCTCCGTTTGAAGCTGCAGGACGCGAGAAGCATCTGGAAAAGTCTTCAGCTGCAGGAAGGCCGGTGTCCTCACAGCTGGGAGGAGGAAAGTCCACACCGTGTGATGCAGTCAGTAAAACGAGGAGGAAAAATCTGCTGCTGAGCCCGGGAGCTTCCATTAATGATCAGAGCAAACGTCACATTAAAGACATCAGGAACATGAATAAATGTTACAGAAACAAGATTATACGCCCGTCGACAAACAGCAGTCTGTACCAAGCCCAAACAAGCAAAGACCCTGTGTAACTTTTGACCTTGATTTGTGACCTTGAAGCTGGGTTGATTAATGTGTATGTGACGCTCCATCTAAGCATCGTCTCATTAAATTACCTTGAGCGGATCAGAAGTTGTCAAAAGTCACTTTATTGTCAAAACTGCAATATGTACAGGACATACACAGGATTGAAACGACATTACTCTCAGACCCCTGCTGCAACAATAACCACTTAGCATTAAAACATTTAATAAACATAAGCATAAAATGAAATAAAAGTATGATAATTATAATTATTATGGGCGAGAGAAGAGAAGGTTTAGGGATGTACAGAGACTGGACCGTACGCCTTCGACTGGCGTATAAAACGTTACAAACTGGTAATAATTCATTAAGTTACAAATCACTTTACACAAAGGTGATCCAGTTTGTTTCCACAATAGTTGGCTATAACTTTTAATAACAACTACACCATAAGTTGACAAAATGAGCAGAAAAGTAAAATACAAAACGGAAAATTCCTCGATTGGCAACGATGGGGTTTTGTTGAAACAACGGTCTTCAGCTCCGAGACGTCACATGAGAAATATTGTTCAAAGGTTAAACGAGTCACAGAAACACGGTCGCCGTTTGTTTGCTGGTTTTAGATGATCATTCAGACGATCTAACATTTTAGTTGTTTAACCATTACAATTGGTTTTTGCTAACAAACCTTCCTTCTTGTAGTTTAGACGTCAAAATGTACTTTGGTCTTTTTTCACCTGTGTCTCCCACTGTTTGAAGTCTCCAAAAAGAAACTGTCCACGTGACCTGAAGTAACCTTCTGTATATAAGAATTATAGTTTTCTCTAACTGCCTCCAGAATACACCCACCCACCCACCCAGCCATCCACCCACCCCCATCCACCCACCCATCCATCCAATCCATCCATCCATCCATCCATCCATCCAATCTATCCAGCCATCCATCCATCCATCCATCCATCCATCCATCCATCCATCCATCCATCCTTCCATCCATCCTTCCACCCATCCATCCATCCTTCCATCCATCCATTTATCCATCCATCCATCCATTTATCCATTCATCCATCCATTTATCCATCCATCCATCCATCCATCCTTCCATCCATCCATTTATCCATCCATCCATCCATCCATCCTTCCATCCATCCATCCAGCCTTCCATCCATCCATCCATCCATCCATCCATCCATCCATCCA